CATCCACACTCCCGTGCCACTACATCTTCTTCAAGGGAGAGGTAAGTTCCATGTTCGTTCAGTTTCACCACCTCCAGGGCCTCGTAGGTCACAGGCACACAGCACGGCGCCCGCTCCCCCACATTCCCGCTCTCAATGTAGGAGTTGAGCAGGATGGCGTGGTTCTTGGGATTGACCAGGGGGAAAGCACATGAGCCATGGCAGTTGTTGATGTTAGCAGTGTTTGGAGCCACAAGAAGTTTTTCGAGGGATACAGTGAGGCTCCTCAGCCCACACGTGTGTCCCCTCACTGGGTTGTTGGGGTCAGCTCTGGTGGCCCGCAGTCCTCTCTGCACCTCATACGTACGGGCCACTGTCTTAAGGGCCTTCAGCAGGAGAAATGCACGGTACTGGCTCTCTCCTGTTCTATCCAGAAGAGGAAACAGAAGTATCAATTAAACAGCAAAGGATCTTGATACCAAAGAAAGTCTAGTCTACAGCACTTTGATTCCTAAGCAGGGGTACTTCTGTTGTTGCCAAGGGATGCGTGGACAGATTGTGAAGCAGCTCAACTAAGATTGAAACGATTTGTAAGAAATATATATCCACATATTTCAGCATGCTGAATAGTGGTGGTTTAAAGCAACAACATGCAAGAATTGCACATTGTTTCTGTTGGACAGTTTCAGTGATGGCCAGGTAGCTTTACTTGTTGTAGTCGTTTTAGCTGTTGGCGAGAGCTTTGTGAAATAAAAGGCTGCAGGGCAGACAGCGAGCTGACCTTCTTGCTGTTGCACTAGTAAATAAAATTAGCTGGCTCGCTGTCTTGTGTTGTGGCACTTGTTTGATGGCTAGCCAAGTTGTCGACTCTGTACTTTTTGATAAATAATGTAATCACAACAAATGCACGTGTACGAAATACATTTTGCACAAAACGCAACAGCAATTCTTGCATAATGTTCCTTTAAAAGTAATGGACAGATAATTGAAATAACTTAAAGAAGCTGATTAACAGTTAAAAAAAAATTAAAGTAATATATAAATTGTCGGAATATCCACATATACCACCACTCCAAGTGGTGGTAGCATAAATGCAAACTAAAATCCACTTTTATATTATTAATAGTTAAATAAAATCCTCTTTTGGGACATGACGGGGGTCTCAGTGATTTGACTTCATCTGGCTGTGGGGTCTGACTAAAAAGGTTAGAAACAACTGCTTTAGAAACAGTTTCTTTTGGTAGACATCACCTGCTGCCGGTTCCTTCTCCGGAAACGCACTGAGTTGTTTGAGCCTCCCCAACCTCTCCGTGGCTCTGTGACCCACATCTTCCTCCCTTATCACCTCCATTGTGTGCAACACAGTCTGCTCCAACCTTTGCCTGAGCTCCTCCAACAGTGCAGGAGACAGGGCCAACTCTCCATGATGTACCTGAAACATGGAGCCCCAGTTAGTGAAGTCGAAAATGGTGAGGGCCGAGGAGTTCATCAGTCCTGCCAGCAGGGTTTCGCTGGAGGATGAGCCTAGTGTTAGGGGAGGCAGGGACTGTAAGGTGGTCAGCTGGAGCTTAGGGGACTCAGGGTGCGCCTGAGGCAGGACATCGCCCAGGAACCGCTTCAGCTCACAGAGGAAGGAGGAGGTCTGTGAAGAGGCCAGGGACCAACCTAAAACATGTGTATATCTGAGAAAGAGAGAGGAGAAATGTTACCGATCACCACTCTAACAGGAGTCTGGTAAAAGTTCAACGGGGAACAAAGACAACCTTGTATCAGTTCCTCTTTCCCATGAGAAAAGCAGAAGTGGAGTCATGCTGATGTTACTTCCTGATTTTCCACCAGTAAGCATGTCTTTCAGGCTTTGCTCTGCAAAGAGAGGAACTGGGTCACGTGTATTCTATATGAAACAAGAGATTATGTCTTACTCATATTATGTCTTACTCATATCAGGGGATTTTGTGTAAATAGAAAGCCTCCATTTCTGAAGAATGTCACCCTCTGATGCTTTTCCTGTCAGCATTAAGTACTGCGTTTCTCCTGAAACACACACTGACTAGAAAAGACGGCAAGAGGAAAACAACAGAGATATCTGTGATAAAAATCATATACAACTGATTTTTCTGTTTTTAATTCACACCAAACCTTCCTTTACCTGCGTGTGAGGTTGCAGCAACTGACCAGTGAATGTAACGTCCAGGTTTCCTCCTGTGAGAGGACTCTCAAACGCCAGGAGCAGCACAGGGTTCGGCTTGAGCAAAAGAGACTGTGAGAGGTCAAAAGTCAACGTTAGCCTTCCTCTTTCATCTTCCTCTGCCAAGTGCACTGGTGGAGAAAACAAGACATGTTGTAAGATAAAAAAGACAACAACAAACAAAAATAAATTGCGGTCAGGGAGCACAGTTACCTCCAGCTGGATGCAAAACCTCCAATCCGTCTCTCTGGTTTGTTTCCTTAGCAAGCTCTAATAAGACTGAGCCTGATGAGTTATCAGAAACCGTGCAGATTCCAAACAGAGTCAGAGTGTGGTTTGTGAGTTCGCCGTCGTGCCCCACACCTTCACGCAACGCTGCAAATATGTCATCCACAAAGCACGGTGCACGGTGAGGGACATTGTTTTTCATTTCCAAACTATCTGTGGTCTCTGTGGAGCTTGTATAGTGGTCTCCTGTCATTGAATTGGAAAATCCAAATCAAATTACATTACTCACTGAAAAACAGATTAAAGCTAGAAGCAGGAACCGCATGCAAACAACACAGCTTTTGAACAAAACACGCTAATTGACGAGCTATACAACAGCATCACAACATAAGATGTAAAATAGGTTTTGTTAGTTTTCAGCCAAGTCTGACCTGTCATCATGTGGTTCCAGACCGGGATCGGTTGCAGTCCTTGTGAGACCTGCAGGGCCACACAGAGCCTGGTCCAGCAGAGCATCAACGCTCCACAGTAGAAGACATCCACAACCATCATCCTGCTCTGTCTGTTTGTGTGCCTGTGTGGTCAGACCTTTCACAATCACTTGTTTTAAATAGGTCAAGCTCATGAGGATGGGTGTTATATCCTCCCATATTCCCTTCTCACTAACTGGGGGACATGCTGCCAAAATAGGAAAATCATGTGTCCTTGATGATGTTCTTTCTTAACCTCCAGATGGCAGTTTTGTTGGTTTGGACACATACCGAACCTCCCTGTCTGTAGGTTAATGGAGGTGAGGACAGACCTTATGGGAGGTTTCAAGATTAGAGAGTGGACTAATTGTAACTTTCTCATGAACCATTCACAGTCTAAACAAATGATGCCTGAGGCTGGAAGGTGAGAAGTGTTGTTATGTTATTCAACTGAAATATGACAAAGACACAGAGGAGTTTCATGCTGCTAGGCCCCGCCCCTTAAAATCTGATTTGCAGTGAGCACAGAGAAACTTTCCACTTTCAGCAGATAAATGTGAAATCATCCTTCTAGTGTCAAACTCTGCACATACATCATTCTGCACAGTGAAGATCAAACATCCAACTGTGGGAACAAGAAGAAAAACATATTTTTTGAGTGGAGGAGGACTTTTTGAGACTGATACGAGTAGAGTGAATAAGCATATTTAGAACTATTCCCTGTAACCAGTAAGTCATCAATGATATGAGTCTTATGAACCGCTCTTTGTTGTGAATTACGACAACAGACCGACCATTTACAGCAAGTATTCTTGTTCATACATGACTTGTTATTGGTCCTTTAAAATAATCAGATCATTCATGCTGACAAACTAGGAGAGAAGAGCAACTGGTCTGTGAGTTCACTGAACTACAAAAACCAAGAAACATTTAGATAAACTTCAATGATATAATCCAGAACATGTTCTCCTAATGAATGCGTACAGTTGACCTGTTCTCATTCATGCTAGAAGGGGCAAAAGAGCAAACAGTGTTGCTCTCAGAAAGGAACGGAAACATGAGATCTGATTCCTTTCAAAGAGCCGGCACTCCCATCACTACACTCACAGCTGCAGGCTTGTTATGCAGACGGTCAAGGTCTTGGCGCTGTTTAGTAGCCACATATCGCAAGAGATAAAGCCAAGGCTCATTCTGGTACATCACAAATCTTCATTGAGGAATGAAAAAAACAGTTCACTATTCACTAATAGCTGCAACATGCTATCAACAGGGTTTGTAGGACATTTCTTGGCAGGTACCACATCATCCCATAACTTATTTCTGTAAGTCTATACTGTGGGAATCTTTTAATGAAAACATCTATAATCTGATGTGACTATTAAAATTCCACTCTGAGAGGTTAGTAAGGAACATTATTAGTCATCTACATACTGTGGGCCACAATGTTGGGCTATCTGGACCCTACCAGTGTCCTTTGAGTGTTAATAAAACCATTGTGGGTCCAGGTGAGAAGCTTCACTATATAGACTTGTTATTGAGACATTACAGGCACTTTGGCTCAAAACAAGCGCACACTTCTCCAAATGATGGTACTGGAAGCACTCCATCAAAAACTCTTTCTCAAATGCAGCAGCGGACCGAGAGAGATATTAATGCGGTGGCAGAAATATATGCTGATTTAATCACATGTATCAATGTGTTCTTGGAAATTACAAAAATTGTGACACATTAATAGTCTACCCTAAAGGTGGCATTAGAAATCAATGGTTTTACTGGTCAATCTTTTTCCAAACGCCTAAATGATCGTATAACAGATTATTCATTTTAATTTTTAATGACACTATTTATAAATGAATCTAAATTAATGTGTTAAATTCAACTGCATTTGCCACCCATTTGCTCAAATGTTCACTTATGTTTGATATAATTTGGTGGAAATATTTGGCTGCTCATTATGATGATGACCATGTAAGAGACTGTCTTCTGATTCCTCCACCTCACAGGTTTTCTTCACCAGTTAATTTCAGAATAAAAGGCATAAAACTAACTTACAATGTGTAAACTATAGTATGACCTACTAGTTTTCCATGAGTGAAAAGAGAATGTAATCATATATGCCACAGGACACCACAAAATTAATTCAAATATTATATGAAACATTTTTATTAATAATCATAAAATGCAGAAAAAAAACATTAATTCCATTTGTTTCATTATAACATCTTAGGATAAAAGCACCAACATCGAACAGTAACAACTTTATCATGAAAACCCAGGGGCTTTTGGAAAGTAGGTTTGCCGTTATTGCACCTCAAACCTGCCCTGGCTGCACCGATCAGAGATCACTATACACATACTGTAGGTCACATGTCCATTGTCAGTTAACCCCCCTCCCCCAAAATAAAGGGGAAGAATCCCAACAAAAGGACAGTGAACCTCATTCTTAGAGACACAAATCTAGACAGAGGCATTTGTGAGATGAGGAAGATGCTGAAAAGTCATAGCCATTTCACAGCTTCTTGAGATCAGACCGACTCGTAAAGCTTTATAAAGCTGGATTTCACCCGGAGAGGCTGGATGTATGCGACAGTGAGAATCAATCTGAGGAGATTTGGCAAGACAGCTGGCTAATTTTACCTTGAAATATGCTTACTGAGGGGGTTGTCCTGGTCCTGAGTTGGGTTAGAAAGGGACTTCATCATGCACAAGATGGTGAATAAATTTGTGACATGCAGTAGTTTAAAGAAAATTGTTTACATGATTTCAAGCAATATGGGAAGTTCCTGAGTTAAGACCTTTGGCAGGATTTAGAGTAAACAGCCTCGACTGCAGAGCTCTCACAGATCAATAATGTACCAGAATGGATAATGCTGGAGAACTGCATAGAAGCTTTAATTCAAATCACGCTCATACACCAAAGGACTTGAATAACAGCACCTCACCCCTTTGACTGATTGTACAAGTAGCTACAAAACTGGTTGAAATCTGTAATGAACGTGATCTTTGCCATTCCCACAAACTATTCTCATGCGCACATACACCGCGCTGCACCTCCAGGTTAGGGAAACTTCCATAGGTTAGACTGGACTGCAAGAAAGCCGCCAGGCAAGCTCGTGTTGTAGATTATTAAACCATAAAACCCTGCAGCACAACAGGAGAAGAGTAGTATTTATCAATAGCTGCAATTTCCTTGTTTTAAGTGAAGGAGAGCACCGTGCTGTGTCTGACTAGTAGTATTAAAAACTGACAGGAATCTGAAGACACAATTAAAAGCTTAACATGTAACTGAAATTGTATCAAACACCAAGAATAAGAAAATCAAAACAGCATCAACAATAATTACAAAAGACCTCTCAGTGCTGGTAACAAATGGACTATAGTCTCTAATTATGTTCTAAAATGAATTCTTTTCACTTGAACACTCGCAGGTGAAAAACACGTTTATGTTCACAGAGTGAGTGCACAGGACAGGAGTTTACAATAAAGCTTTCATTATTAGTCTAATCTTCCCTTCGATATGCACTGGCAAAGTGGAAAAAAAAAGCACACACACACAAACACACAAACTGAGCTTAAGTGTATTCCCACTATCAGAGGAACCCGGAAGCTTGGCTGCTCTCACTCCCAACAAAGTGATGCACACACACATCCTAACACAAGTGTTTTACATCAGCATGTCTTTGCAATTACACAATATGCTCACATTACAAGGTAGGGCCTTGACAGTAAGACATCTAAAGACAGTGTGTGTAAGAGGTTGACACAGTCTTGTATGCACCAGTAAAGATTTTTCTGAATTGCCATTGTTTGGAAACAGAAGCACCATTTTTCCTGCAGAATCTGGGTTGGTAAAAAAAAAAGAGAGAAAGAAACACAAAGAAAACATCTGATAAAAGTGACAGCTCTAGTGCTGGAAACTAGTCGTGTTCAAGCCACAGCACCTTTGTTTGTCTGTGTAAAAGCACACAGCCTTTGAGTTTCTATTTCTGTGGTGTGTTTGTATCACAAGGATTCAGGTGCTGCTGTGTCGCCATGTTGTTAAGCACCATCTGTGTGGCAATGCTTCACTCTCCTTGGCTTCAAGCCTCCTGTTTAACAGGTTGAGTTTAAGGTCAAAATGCAGCACCAAAGCACCCCTATTCACATATATATATATACTCAAATATATAGACTGTATATAGATACATTTCTTATATACCTTTCTGTTTATGATAGACAAACAAGGAAAAACAAAGTTATGTACAAAAACAGTGTGTCTTGTTCACTAACAGATAAGCAGCTCGCTTGGAGAGCGAAGCGGGCCGACTTATGTTTAAAACTGTGGCGTGAGAAACATGAACACAGGTCCTCATACCTGTTTACTCAGACTCTGAGCCAGCTGTTGCAGAGTAGTTTTATCTAAAGGTGGTGTCTACAGTTGTACACTATGCATTCAAAGAACCAGACAATAGCATATTAAATATGAGAAAGGAAATGCCAAAAAAAGGCTTTACAAATGTCCCTGTGTACAGCACCAAGTATTCAATTTGTTTTTGATGTTTTCACTATACAATAAATAAGATCAGGTACAGTCCAAATGTAGCACCATTGTTTTCAGACTGTGAGTCAAGTACACACACTATTGCATTCTAACATGTCAACACATTTCAGGATTGAAAAAAAAAAAAGAAAAACAAATACCAAGGCAAATAGAGAGACTGACGGCATAAATATAATAATCTAAATTATACACAACTATACAGTCGGAGAATGAATCACATTCACAGTACAAACATTGTTTACAAAAAACAAATTACACAATAAAAAAAGCAAACAAAAAGGTGTGAAGAGAGACCAGTAGTTTGTTGTGGTTACGGTTAATTGTTTTCTCAGTGTGTGAGGATTTGCATGCATGTACGTGTGCGTGTGTTTGTATGAACTAAATGCAGTGTAACTCCACATTTGCTTAAACCTGCATTTCCCAACAGCAGAAATAAATATGAATAAGTTTAGCTTAAGAAGAGTTAAAAATTCCTGCTGTAAAGAGTATTTCTGCTGCGGTCCCACATCGTAGTGTGATTTACCCAATTGACTGAAGAAGAAAATGTTAATAAATACAGAAATGAGTTGAATCTTTACTGTATTTCTTTTACACCTGGATTCAGCTTCACTAAAGCACTGAACAGTGTAGCCACAACTCTGACAACACTGCGTCTCTACTAGAGAGTAAACGAATATGTCTACACAGAGCACCATCTCATTAAATTAAATTCAGGGGGTCTTTTTAAAAAATGAAAATGCACTCGACTCTGCTCAGCATTATTGGCACCCCTTGAAATGTTGTTAATTCACCATATTTTCAAATTTAGGCTGAAATCAGAACATTGCTGTGTGTTTGGACTTCAAAATAAACACTTCAATACTCTTCATTCTTCAGTTCATTAATTTAGAGAATGTTAAATATATCTGATTACTGTCACAAAATATCAAAGATTTCATATTTGAAGTAAACAAACATACTTTCATTGATATGTTAAATATCTGATATCAGAAGACAAACACTGAACCACACCTGAAGCATTGTTTTAATCACTCAGAAAATGAACTTCACTGGTTTTGCTCCAGTTAGTAGCAAAGAAAGGAAATATTAGTTTTGTGTGGCAAAAAGGGCAGCCAGAACAGCTTACAATCTTTGCACCGCTTTGCTTTTAAAAATGATTTAACAGTAAGTACCCACATTTTTCATTTTCTCCAATATGAAAATATTGTTAATCATAAACATAACCAGAATTTAAGGGGTGTCAACAAACCAGCCAGGACTTGTACATGTTCTGCTACATGAGTAACTGTATCTTACTATCCAGTGTGAAGTTAGACCAAACGTTCCTCATCTTGTTTCTAATTCTATTCTGTTGCAACAAATATTGAATTTCAGGAAGAAAACAGAGATAAGACAGCATGCAGAGAGGCAAAACTGCATGACATCTGAGCAGAGTTCAGTGAACTGGTCTGTGTGTGTGTGTCTGACTGTGCAAACACATGCACTCGTATGAAGTGAAACTTTGGAGGGAACGTGACTCCTGATGACATTCAGCTTAAAAAGGTGGACTGTGTGCTTCGATCTATCTGTTGTTAAATGTTACATTAAATCAATAAAAACTGATTATTTTACTGAACACTAGTTACTGTAATAGTGCCTAAGACAAACAAAATGACACACTATCATACTATTGAGCACCTTAATGTTAAACCAGACCATTCTGGATAATTCAGTTCATTCAGTGCCGGGCAGCAGCCGGTACAGATTTCTATGTTGTAACATTCACACTCCACACATAAAGATGACCAGTATCTGTGAATTCTGCTCAAGGTGACCATAGTGGTGGTGAGAGTGTGTGTGTGTGTGTGTGTGTGTGTGTGTGTGTGTGTGTGTGCGCGCGTGTGTGTTTCAGAGATCCCAGTACAGAAGCCGGTCTTGGAGGCGGTTGGGTGGTGCAGACGTTTCGAAGCACCAGTGAGTGAGGAGAGTGCCTTGGTCCACACCTGGACATTTGCATAGTTTATTTAATGTTGAGGTAGTTTTCATCAATTACCTGAAACACCAAAAGGAAACAAAAGGACAGCATAAGTGATTCAGTGGCCAGAAGATTCTACACGGCAATACACAAAAAGCCACCAACAATATTACATCCTGTCACTCAAAAACGTATTATCAAGCACAGTGTTTATACTTTAAATCTAAAAACTGACTTACCTTGTTCAATCAGAACAACAGCTTGTGGGAGCACAGGGAAAACAGGTATCCTGTCTGTCTCTCACTCCCTACCAGTCTCTCTCTCTCTCTCTCTCTCTCTCTCTCTCTCTCTCTCTCTCTCTTTCTCTCCCTCTTTCCACCCTCTGATTGCCCTTTGCCCTTCTCCTCTCCATCCTCCCTCCCCCACTTCCCCTCACCCCCAAACCCTATCTAGGTCGGGAGCCAGGGAGCTGGGAGGTGGTGTAGGTACCATGCATGCCCTGAGTCCTCCACATGCTCCCGCCACCACCTGAGCTGCTGGCCGGTGGTGGAGGGGGCAGCCGAGGGGAATAGTGCACTGCGAATGGACGAGATGAGGAGGTGGTTGACAGAGATGAGGAGAGGGAAGCAGTAGCGGCAGCAGCAGACACAGAGGCAGAGGTGGAGGAGGAGATGTTGAGAGAGAGGGATGACTGTGCTCTCTGGTGGTGGAGAGAGGAATGGGACAGACGGGAGGAGTGGAGGGAGTCAGATCGAGAGGATGGCGGGACGTCAGAGTGCGTGGGTGTTGAGGAGGAGGGAACGCTGTGCAGGGGTGGAGGAGGGGGCAGGGATAGCGTGGGAGGAGAAGGACTATGCAGGACCGACTGGATGCGGCTGTGCTGAGCCTGGGACAGGGAGAGGGGGAGCGGTGAGGACACGGAGGCCAGGCGCGTGGAGGCTGGTTGGGGAGTGGTGTGCTGCTGGGTTTGGGAGGAGGTAGAGGAAGAGGAGGAGAGACTGAGCAGAGAGCTGAGGCCTCCAGAGGTAGGCAGCGTCACCCCAAACTGATGGGAGGACACTGTGGGGACCACGTGGTGAAAAATACCTGCAAATCATACAGCAGAAATGGAGGGAGGGGGAGGGCGAGAGAGTGGAGACAGAGGGAAGAGAGAGCAGATACAAGTGGCAAAGAGAGCGAGAGGGAGGGGGACAAAGAGAGAAGCAAGGACTGAGCCAGGTTGTGCATAGCGGCAAGCAAGTCTTCGACAAGCACACAGAAAGCAAACAGAGTCAGTCCACTGTGACTAACCAAATCAGTGTGGCCAATTTAGGATCGCTCTAAAACAGTTCTTATTACAGCAAAATTGATTTCTGGGTTGATTTTTGTGAAAAGTGAAGTGACTCTGACATACAACTCAAACAGATACACCCACAGAAAATGATAACATTGTAATGTAATAGTTATAATATAAAACATGTTCTTCACTCATGGTCAATCACATATTTCAAAGACTGATCATTGATTTTTTTTTTAAATTCTCTATATTCATTCTGCTAAAATTCAACATTTTCTAAGGGTGTTTCCAACTGCAGCACTCAAGCAGCCAGTCCATGTCAAAGCGAGGCAGACAGAAAGACAGCAGCATTGGACCTCCACTTACCTGGCTCTAATATCAGGCCCATTCCCTCTAACTCGCACTATTACTTTATCAAGATGACCCCAGGCTAAGACAATGACCTCACACTAGGCTGATGACCCCTAGGTAAAACTCAACATGATCTATTAGTGATGCTCACCTCCAGCTGCTCCCCCTGCTAGCCCAGCACTGGAGAAGCTTCCCAGGGCAGAGTGTCCGTTGACGAGCCGCGGCGTTCCACTCACCGTGGATCCGCCTGTTTGGGCTCCGAATAAGGACTGTAACACTGAGGTCCCGCCAAGTGGAAACTGAGACCCCAGGTACTGTCCCACAGACCCTGTGGTTGAGGAAACTGCTACAGGACTGCCTCCCACCTTCCCACTCAGTATGCCCCCTCCACTGCTGGCAGCGGCAGATATGAAGAGGTTCTGACTGGCCATGCTGCTGCTCGTCTTCATCTCCCAGTCACGAGGGGCCTTCTGCTTCTGAAGGGCCTGGCGTTGGTCTGAACCACTGCCTCCCTGGGCACCACCACCACCACCGCCGCTGCCTCCACCCCGGGTCCCTGACTCCTGACTGAGGAAGGGGTTGGCGGTCATGTAGCTGGAACACTCTCCATCACTCCCTTTCCTCACCTGCTGATGCTGTTGTTTGTGGTCAGAGTCTGAGTCTGTGCCCCGGCTTGACCCCCCCATGCCAAATGGAGAACCCCCCTGTCTCAGATCAGAGTTGGGTTGTTTGGGGTCGGAAATTGGCGAAAAGGTGGATTTCCACTTGCTGTTAGAGGACAAGGAGGACGAAGAGGAGGCCTCGCTGCCTGTGCTGTTACCACTGCTGCTACCAGATTTCCTGCCTACTGGACGAAAAAAGAAACACGGTTTGTGCCGAGTAGAAAAAGTGCAGGATAAAGTTTCTATTTTAACAAGTGACATTTTCTTTTCTTACCTCTTTCACCGTCCCCTAGTCTACCAGGTCCATCTCTGCTCTCCAAGGATATAGTGGCAATTTTTCTTTCAATTCTGGAGAAAAAGAACCACAAACATTCAAAACAAACACAGCGACAAGTTGCAACAAAATGTGCGTGAGCCCTATCAAATCTGTAATGGAGAGCTGCAAAGTCAACTTGCAAAAAGGGCAGCTCGGCTGTTACATTGTTGTTACCCTCAACTTCACATTATAAAGACTATATTACCGTGAACTGGAGCTGTCGGCAGGGTATCCTGAGTCCTCATCATCAGAGCTAGGGGCTGAGGAATAACGACCTGTGCCATTGAGCTCCAGGGGGCGCTCTCTCTTCAAGACGGGGGGCTGGTCCAAGTCAGGCCCATTGGGGCTGCGGCTTGATTGTTCTGGGGAGGAGATGGCAGAGATCTCCAGAGGCTGGTTGATGTTGTTCACCTGTTGGGAGAAAAAGGACACGCAGATTGCACCCTGATGACACCAATAAAAACAAGTCTGAAATAATGTGACAGCGTAATCTCATTGCATTCATCCACAGAGAAATCTAATGCACCAAAGATGCATTGTTGACAGACTGAGCTCATCAGACACAAGTCTGTAAGGTCTGATTATTCAAATACACGACTTCATTAAAACTCAATATATTGCATAATGGAACCTTAAAAATCAATTTCTTGTCATATCAGGTACCTAACAATTTTCTCTCTTCATGCTTTTGGTGACTCACCATGGAGTTAATGTTGAGTGGTGATCCTGAGGAGTGGTTGTTGGAGCTGAGCCCGGGGAATGACCTCCTCTTTGGGGATCCACTGGCCGTGACAGCAGCCACTGTGGAGCTGCGCTTCCTTCTCCCACGCTTACGTCCCTCTTGAGATCCCAGGCTGTGAGAGGAGTGTGATGACGACGTATGTGTGAGTGGGTGAGTGTGTTGGGTGCCGGGGGACTGGTGGTGGTGGTGGTTTCCATGGTTACTGTGGTATCCCTGCTTGGCTGAGTTGCCAGTGTGATGGTGGAGGCGTGATCCTCCGGCCGCACTGCCTCCACTGCCTGATGAAGAGGAAGACGAGGATGAAGAGGAGGAAGAAGAGAAGAAGATTCTCCTCCGCAGTTCACTGTCCTGGGGCTCCGCGTCGGATTCACCACCCTGGTGATCCTGTCCATCTTCTGGAAGAATCCTTGGGGGTCCATCTGCATACTGGAGCACCCCTCCAGTGCCGAGCGGAGGGCTCTGAATGGGACCTCCTCGGCCCATTGGTCCTGTCAACAGAGTGTTGTTGTGTGGAGGAGGTGATGAAGAAGCACCATTATGGTCCTCAGGATGGGGACCTCCATTCATCAAACCTGAATATCCTAAACAGAGACCCAAGAGTTGATGGTTGATGGTTAAAGACGCACAGTAAGAAAACAGACAAATATCAAACCTAAAACATTAACACTAAAACTTTATCAGTCATAAATAAGTTAGAGTTCATTCTATCTTAATAGTAGTGAATATAATATGTTAACAATATATCAAGTGTTTGAAGGGTAATCCTTACCGTTGGTCTGACCTGCCTGAGACACAGGACTCGGAGTACTTCTCTGAAATTATGAATGCAGAGAACACAGACGAGTGATATATTAAAGGAAAAACTAATATAGTGTCTTAGTAAGGTGTTGGGCCAGCACGTGTCCCCAGAACAGCTTCAGTGCGCCTCTACATTGATTCTACAAGACTCTGGAACTCTACTGGAGATATGAATGCCATTCTTCCAGAGGATATCCCCTCATTAGGTGTTTTGATGAGGGTGGTGGACAGCTCTGTCTAACATGTCAATCAAAAATCTCCCATAGGTCAAAGGTGTTGGGCATTGTCATTCTGGAAGAGACCGCTTGATTTGCAGTGACCATTCCCTCTAAGCGTACCCTAACCATGCCAGCAAAATTCCTCCACAGAATAACAGAGCCACCAGATCCACTCACTATAGGGGTCAAGCATTCAGGCCTGTACTGTTCTCTCATACGTGCACTCGCCCACTTGTTGGGAATATAGTGAACAATAATTCATTTGACCATCACCAGTAATGTTTTTTCATATTTCTTTAGACCGGCGCCTATTGTTTCTGCACCACTGAACTCTTAACTGTGCATTATGCTTTGTAATGAGGGGTTTATTCACAGCAACCCTACTATAATATCCCTCGTTATGTAATTGTTGACAGATTCACCTAAGGAGGTGCTTGTTTATCCTTGCATATAATATACCTATATACATATAATGCACAAGCGTCACGGTCATCAAATGTGTGCTGTCGACCACAATTTCCAACAGATTTCTAGTCCAACAGCAAAAAAGCGAGCTTGCCATCTGTCTTGATGTTATTTCCCAAAGCTCTCGCTAACGACAAAAAGCCAATCCGATATTTACCCTTGTCTGACCTCTTGTCAGACACAGCTGGCTAGTTTCATGGCTAAATTAGGTAACGGCAGGTATGATTAGCAGCAGTAAAGTAACAGCTACTTTAGCAATCTGTCCATAAAAATTCACCAAAATCAGTTGGTGGTATGTGACGTAGTGCCGTAAAGTGTTCTTCCGCCATAAAGTGTGCTTGGGGCTTAGACTGGGAACGGAAGAGGCACCATTATCTATCTGAGTGTATCACCAAAACAATGCTGAAGCTGTTATTTGAAGGTAAAATAGTATAGTGTTGCTTCAATTTCCATGTGTGGAAGCATCTGCATTCATTATGTTTCTCAACTCATTTATTCATGTTTTTCCTTTAATTTGTCACAGCCTGCATATCACAGTGTAACAACAACAACAAAATTATCCAACATAACACATCTTACCTGTGTACACACCAACATAACTCTTCACAAGTGAACATTTCATTTATTACATCTGGAGCAGGGCGTCAATGTCAACGTATTGTAATGTAGTTACTGTCATTGTACTCACCAGTCTCTCAGCACGACTGGGCAACACCACGCTGGCCAGAGGGATGCTGACTGGTAATTTACTTGGGTGGACAGTGCTCAGAGGGATACTTATTGGAAGGCTGGTAATGCTGTTGTCACCTTGAACAGACGGGCTCCTCTCCTTGCCACCCTATATAGGAGCGCAAAGGCAAAATGAATGCGTGTTAACAGTGAGAGCCAAATACTGCAAGGAATGTAGAAAACTGTATGCTTACAGACAGATCAACAGTGTAAGTGCAGCAAAGAAGGACAAACATTTACCCTCTCAGAACTTTTAGGAGTATTCTGGGCATCAGATGCATTTGGAGAGGGACAGTTCTGTTTGACTCCAAGTGGAGAGTTAACAGCACCCAATTCCCTACAAAAAAAACAAACAAAAAATAAAAACAGGCTAATTTAGTTGCAACTACTTAGCCGTTTGTTGCCTTAGGGAGCGACTTGGAGACAAAAACATAAAAATAATATTGTTCATATTGAAAATTGGGAGCTTTAGTGCCAACCAACCTGTGTGCGGTCAGTCCTGGACCTCTCAAGTGAGCAGAGGCAGTGGGGTCCTGGTTAAGATGCCTCCGCAAGGCAATCTTGGCAGGGGAGAAGCGTGTGTAATCAGGAAGAGCGTAGGAGGAACTTTGCTGCCTCTGCCGGGCATCAGGGGTGGCGGGTACAATTTCATGGTCTGGAGAGATGGGCAGGTAGCGAGAAAGAAGCTCCCCCTTGGTGTTGGCCCGGTCAAAACAGGGTGAGCTGGTGCCATTGATAGACAGCTCTGGGCTGACACCATTGAGGGCTGGGGCTGAGGACAGGCAAAGATTAGAAGAGTCCATGTCTGTGGAAGATCGCGATTCCAGGCTCTTTCTGTATGGGGAGCCATCACAGGGTCTGTAGGATTTGAGTTGAAGCAGCTCCTGCTGCCTTTGACTTTTCTCCAGCTCCACAATGCTGATCTACAAACAGACACCAGGGGGAGCCGTTACACAAGAAAACGGCAGCAATGCTGAAACATCTAGGAAAATGTTTGTGACAGCAATTCATCAACTGTTCCTGAAAGCTACATTTTATTTATAGTTTAGGTGACAAGACTAATTCCTCTGAACATCTCTGAAGAGCTAGTGGGACAGATGAAAGGGGGCAGCAGGACGGAAGAAGAAGCCAGAGTACAAAGTATGTTTGGAGGAGTATGCAAGAGGTGGAAGAAAGATAGAAGCATTTGGAAAAGAATCAAACAAATTGAGGAGGTGGACTGTGTACCTGCAGCTCCAAGCAGTGTCTCTGTTTCTCAGAGATTTGTCTACGTAGCGCCTGCTTCTCCTTCAACAAACTCTCCAGACACAAAGATCCCCAGTCTAGCTTTAGCTCCTCACATCGGGACTTCAGCTGGAAAACAACAAACATACACACTTTCCATCATTTGTTTGCTTGGACGATTCTCTAGCAAAGTGAAATAAAAGTTAACACTGGCTTTAAGGGCAAGGTGGTATACAAACTAGAGCTGAACTAGGGCTTCAACCACCATTACACAAATGCAGGAAGGGCAACAGGTGTGAACCACGGGTGATAATGCTGTAGTAAAAGGGGAAGGTCACAACAATATGGTAGCAAGCCCCGATGTCTCACCAGTAGCAGGCTGTGGTCTCTCAGCAAGGCCATGTCTCTCTCAAGCTGCTTTGTCTGCTCTTTCAGCTGACGATTGTGGGCTGAAATCTCCTTCTGGGCCTGCAGTAGGTCCTCCACAGTCAATGCTTTCACTCCCAACTGATCGCACAGACACACACAGACAGACACACAAAAAACAGAATCAGAAATACTTTAATAATCCCAGGGGGAAATTATTTTTGTTACAAATTCCAGACTTTGAATTTGCTGACCTCCAGTGGCTGGACATCTTCAAACACTGGAGGTTGCTGCACTAAACTGATGTGTGCACAGGGTGTGATCACTGTAACCTGACACAACTGTAGGGTGTAATTAGACGAAACAAATATCTGACCACACCCAACAGCGATGCTATGCTTGTCTCAGGTGCAACAGACGTGAAGTTTCAACCAAAAGAGCTTAATGTTAAGTTAATGCAAACTACAACACAGCACTGCAGGGAATGTATGCTCTGTCTCTCTCACAGTCAAGTTGTGTTTCACTGTCTGTTTAAACTATGTTCATCTGCAAATGTAATGAGAATGCAAAGGGATATAAGCAGCTCGGGTTGTCAAATAGCTATATTTAAGCACTAATTGTATGATGTTCTTGGCAAGGCAAAGGAGTTCTGTGTATACCTAATTCCTTCAAAATAAAACAACAGTTAAAGCTCAAATGAGAGACATAAAAGATGGTGACTAGTCTAATCTAGTCACTAATCTAGAGGGTAATAAAGTAGCAGTTCTCACCTCATCTAGTTTGGTCTGAAAGAGACCTTTGATCTTATCCTTGTGAGACTGACAGACAGAGTGAAGCTGCTCTGCTTGCCCCGACAGGTCCCTGTGTTTTTGCTAGAGACAGAATGACAAAAATATAGGTAAGGTTGGGCAACAAAACACAAGACAGTTAGATAATTAAATATTACTTTTAAGGCAGATAACATGTACTTGAATACATGCCACTTAATATGTGGTGGCATGATATGGTAGTAATAGGTTCGACAAAAACTACAGCAGTATCAAATCAGTGTGTTACATGTCTGTAATTACTGATTACCTTCTCCTGCTCTAAAAGCTGCTGCAGGTTGGAGCGGTACTGAGGAGTCTTCATGTGGGACATAAACTGGAGGTATTGAACTTTGATGTTATCTGAAAAAACAATGTAGGTTGGGGACACAGAGGAAGCAAGAGAGCAAACACGGAGGATATATTATTAGTTAGGTTTTTGGGGAAAGAGAGCCCAGACGCCGAACAGAATAACATACAGTCTTATACCACATTAAGGCTGATTAAGTGTTTAAGAACAAAGAAACTAATTTGTTATTTCTGCTCCCCACAATATCTTATATACTTGAACATGATTTAAGAGTATAGACACAGAGATCAAATTATTTTTAAATTAATTATTTAAAAACAAAATAATCACACCACATTTCCCAGATCATCTACCCATATTGAAGCATAAATGTAACAATAACACCACCAATTTTAATTAAATGAACCGTATTTTGTAGACTGATTTGAACAAGGTCTGGCATAATATTCACAAGAAGTTTGAGCATAACAGATTCTTCATCAGCTCACCTAGCAGTTGTTGCAGACCAGGAGGAGTCGGGCTCAACAGCAGTTGACTAGGGGGATAGTGCTGTACCTTGGGAGGTAGGTGGTAGAAGGGAATCTGAGGTGGCCGGTATCCATCTGTACACACAAGAAGCATATTTACGTTAAACTGAGGAGATTAGTGTTTTCTGTTAGCTTAAGATTGATTTTTGAAAAAGCAAATGTCTACTGTTATTAAGCCTGAAGATATCTAGCATATGCTGTGTGCGTGCGTGCATCCACTGACCCTGAGGGGGTGCCGCAGAAAGGGTCTTTGCGTGCAGCAAATCCAAAGCACTCTGATTTTTCTTGTTTTTCTTCTCAGCAGCCGGGGCAGCTTTCTTGGGTCGACCACGTTTCTTGTTGTTCAACTTGCGACCTTTTGCGAGGAGACGGGCTCTTCGGGGTTTGGCAGAAGGCTTGACCACTGTCACCAAGCTAGGACGCTCCTCCTCACCACAGGAGTCCTGCTGTAATACGCATGGACAAACACATGTACGTAATACGTTAAGTTAAAGTAAATATAAGCCAAGAGAGAAACATTTCGGTGGCAAAATGGCAGACGATATTGCAAAACTTAAAAGCAGCACTTAAAGTTTATTAATATTTAATCCCCTGGAAAACGCTTCCTGCATGGTTTTATAAATCTGTGCATGTCCTACCTTGTTTTGTTCTTTCGGTTTTGTGGGCGTGGTGCTATTGCTCTTACTGTCCTTCGTATCCTTCTGCTGACGTCGCCTAGCTGCCTCTTGCTCTTCCTAACATAAGATACACAAATATTGAATAGTTTGACACATAAAATATAGTGAGTACAGTGACATTGTTGATACACTGAAGAGGAAGAAAATGACTTACCCTGAGTTTAGGATTTTTGAGACTAGCAAAATAGTTTTCAAGCTGAAATAAAAAAAAATTTGGATATTAGAATATCATTTTCTATACTTTTAAGAATTTACATTCCACCCAATTTAAAACAATCATAGTTTTTAAATCTACTTAAAATATCATGTTATTCCACACTTGTGGTTGTAACCTGATTGCAGGAATGTCATACCTCTCTCATTATACATAAAAATGACTGACTGAAGGTTTTTACTGAAAATGACAGCTCATTGTATTTTTCTTTCTGTGATATTTACATAATTAATGCCGAGAATCAATCAGTCATTTGCGTTGACGCAGGCATAAAGCCTACATGCATGAGGTTTGTGGTTTGTGATCAGTCTTTGATCAGTCACCCTTTGTCACTGCTTGCTCTTTGAACTTGATTTGCCTTTACTCACCCAACCTTCCTTAAACACCCTCTAAATAATCTTCTGAAAAGTCAAATCCATATATATAGAGCATGTACACTACATTTACTGTAGTACCATTCTTCATACCATGTTACACCACCCACCCCCGGATACGAATATGCCACAAATCATTTAGAGTGACGGGAGAGCAGCCACATCCAATTCAGGTGGTAACACAGAACAAAATCATCACTAGCACTTTTTAGGCAGCCTGCCAGCTCTCTCACTGGGATTCCCACTGGTAACCAGGGATTATTTTAACCAATTACCAGAGTGACACATATATCAGTGTTATCTAATGCCCATGTGTTACCCTGTATAACCCTCCTCAGATTGTTTACTCCTGGGACTGACTACTCATTAAACAATACCAGCTGTTATTATGGCAGCCTATCTCTTGAGTTTAGGTTACTGTTTGTCTGTAATGTATAATGTGTTTGTACTGCTTGTCAAGCTCTCCTCTATTAGAAATTGTACTCTCTGCATTTGGGTACTTCTCCAAGAACTTCAGTGCTTACTATAGTGCGGTCTATGGTATGCAGGTAATAGGAAACTGGCTTTCCAGTCCAGGACACAGAGCCCCTGAGTGGAGAAAGCTCCACCACACGCATTATTGTGCCAATATCTGTGGGACAGAGAGGAACAACATGTCAGATGCAAATCAAAGGAAGCATGAGACACTGAAATCTGCTTTTTCCATAATTATTGTACTTACCACTCAAGTTTCGACTGTTTATTCTAAAATTTAAAGGTGCAAAAGGTTTGGAGGATACAATTTTCCCACCTGGAAACAAAAAACAACAACAACAAATAAACAAAATCAATAAATGCATTTTCTTCTGATAAATTCAAGATCCATACAGTAGCTCGTATGGCTCACTACACAATATGAAATACAATCACTTCCAAATTGGAGGCAGTAATCCATAGATACATTCATCTTATTGTCAAAACTGAGAGTCAAGCAGCGTAGTGCAGCTGTGAGTTCAAAGGTCAAGTGCCAAGAGTTGACACAGTGGCTACTGGATACAATCAGCCATTGTTATTTTAATCACCAATGAGAACAGCTGAATAACTATTTATTTTCCAGTAAGCCAAGGTGCCGCTCCCAGTGCTACCAACGCCACACTTTGTTTGAGGCTCATCAACCAAATGCGCTCCCATACAAGTCAAATAATGACATTTTAAATGACAAATTAACACGTGGCACACTGGGGGGGTTTAAAGGAGGGAGAATGAGAACATACTTGCATCTCATTGTACTGTTCATAAAAAGCTTGAAGTTACAGGAGGTATTTGAAATGTGTATGTTATTATCTTTTAAGTATCCCCTAAAATTTACTAAAACTATTTTCTGTCATAAATAACCATAAATCAAACCAGTTTTTACTGACTGCTCTCACAGTTGGACATGATGCATCGTCAGAAGTATGTTGGCAAGACTTTTCATTTGTAAATCCACTTATGTTTTAAGCCTTAATGACAAAGTGAGGTTCAAATGGCAAAATAATCCCATATCCGCCTAATGTTACATCCCATTTTAGAAAAAGTTGCCTTGCATTTCATTAATGTGGTGACTCAAAGGCTGCCACACCATGGCCCACTGGCTGTTGGCCAATTTTGCGAACATTACAATTAATTATATTAATGTATTATTGACAGCTGCTGACCACTCATGAATGATTATTTAATATGTTGAAAAATAATTTACTAATAAAAGAACATGTAATTTGACAATTTTGATCCCGACCATTGTTTTCACTCTCTAGAATGTAAACCCTTGTATTTATATGTATATGAGTATGAGTTTGACGGTGTGTGTGTGTGTATTTCTGTACTCCAAAGTTAATATACTGCAGCTCTTTTTGGGAACACTTGGGATGCCTGTGGCTATAGGCCGCAATTAGTCGTCAAAACAATGTAGAAGTTGGATGAAAAACACTAACCTTCCTTCATGTTAGCAAAACGCTCCTTCAGCTGGTGATCTACTTCTGGACCAAAGGCAAAGTTATTCACAAAAATAATACTGCAAGATAGACAAAAGAAAAACATTTTAGAACTACAGTTTGTAGTAAAAAAGTATTTACCTTGAAGTTTTAAGAGGGGAACATGTTAAAGCAAAGTTCTGAGGACACGTTTAATAAAAGGATTGTTAACTTTCTTATAAATCGTTCATATAGAAGACTTACACATTGAACACTGAGTCAATAGCAATTAAAATAATGTAAGTATTTATTACACTGACTGACCCTTTTCTCAATAATATGCCACATAATATACAGCATTTTTTATGTTTGTAGTCCCTCGATGTATAAATTAAGCTTATAAATCGTCTGCAAATAAATGGAAATTGTTACTAGGACCAGGATTTGATATACCACCTTGTGTTGGCGATCCGTTCCTTCCATTCTTCAGACAGAAAGTCACCTCTCTCCAGCTGAAAGAACCAGAGGGGTTAAAAAATCCTGAACACATTTCAAACTGTGCAACAGTAAAAAAGAGTCAACTTACTGTGTATTCCCCATGTTTCTTCCCATACCATTTCATCCACTTTTTAAACTCTTTATCCATGGACTGAAAGATAGATTCTGAATATTAATATCCAAACTAAATAATACTAAAAAGTAAAAAACAAAAAACAGCTATAAGCACAGGATGTGTGTGCTTCAGAGGCATTTCCAGGAAGGAGGATTAGTGAGTTAACAAGAGGTCTTTAGTGAAATTCTGGATATTGTGTTCAGGGTTCACAGACACCAGCATGACTAAAAGCCTGTGTCTTTCACTATAATAACAAATGCTGAGCTTCTGAGTTTATTTGCAGCTGGTTAGATTAACTGAAGTCAGGTGACATTTAGACTAAGAATAGCACCTTGCCATAGTGCAAGCGTCTGTGCAGGTGTGTGTGTGTGTGTGTGTGTGTGTGTGTGTGTTATTACAGGGTAATGAAATGTGAACTGGGAAATCAACTTAGGAAAAACTATTTTGCCAGACTACTGTGTAGTGACAGTCTCGCTGTGCCAACACTGCATTCACTACAGTAAGAGGAGCAGTGACTTTTCACAGAGCAACATCTGTCTGAATGGAGACACTCTCGCTTTCTATGCTCCTTCTCTGGAATACCCCTCTGGTTCTGCCAGATATGTATGTAGTTACCTCTGCATAGGTAGCTGGAATGTCTGCTTTCTCTACACCGTAGTAGTGTTTACAGTTGGTTGCTGCTGCAACTTGCAGCACTACCTGCCCTACTCCTGAAAATAAAAAAACAACAGGTTTATGTTTTACACCAGATAGTCAAAGAAACCTTATTTTTAACTTGACAATTATGTTGAAAACCACTTTTTTCTCTCATCCTGTCTTTCTCCACAACTCTAAACATCATCACTGTTCTTTAAAAAAAGAAATCAAACATTATTTCTTTCTCATTTGTTTATCAAAAAATCTTCCCACTCCCCAGTTAGTAAACTAGTAACTATTACATATCTGACTTTTTTGGGGCTTTTTGTCTCCATCTCTACTCAGTGTCATTTGGCTTCGAACAGTAGAAATGGTGTTATGTAAAAGCTTTGTTGGATCAATTCTTTCTGAAACCTGAACGTCCCAAAATAACAGCAGACTAACCACTGCCGAGGTCAACAAAGGTGTCATCATCCATCATTTCCATCTCGTCGATGATCTGAGACACCAGGTCGAACGAGGTCTCTCCGTACACCTCAGGGGAGAAGGGCTCATAGTTGTTCAGCTTCTCCGGGTCTGTCACTGAGTGGTTGTACACCTGCTGTAGGATGTGTCTCAGCAGCCCGTTGGAAGGACGCTTGTTCAGCTTCATGGGCTGGGTGGTCCCCTTCCACTGAAAGATGGGATTATATATTTAATGACACAAAAACCACTCCAATCAAGGCATAATGCTCCATGCATGCGGGTGTAGATATTACTAATTGATGCTGGTCTTTCAAAGAGAGCAACAAAAGAATATGCTAGATGTTTTTTTTGTTTTTTTATGCAGACTTCTGAACAAAATCTATGAATAAGTGTTTTGGGGAATTTTTGGACTAGATAGCAATTGCGCTTATTAAAGATCTTAAATATCTAAGAAAACATATTATAAATACATATATTGTCAAGTGAATACACTTACAGTACAGCATTACAGTGTTGTTCATTATAGTTGCTACTGTTTTCACATTCACTTTACCTACACAGGTATAAAAACCCCCGTACACAGACTCACCAGCTGGTGAATGCTGTCGATAGCCCTGTTGTACTTGTCACAAAGCCTCTGCATACTCTCGAAGCTGTGATAACAAAAAGACACAAATTCATCATCATTTTTTTACAAGATAAAATCCCACGTCCCAGACCATTTTCCACTGACTTCCAAAGAACATTTTTAATGTAACTCTGAAATACTCCACTTACAATCTTGTGTCAAGTGACTGGAGTATTTTCAGTTACATTAGAACTGCCTTAGAAACTAACCTTTGAAAAATTAAAAACAAATATTCACACAGGCAGGTTGCCTGACTGGATTAAAGTGTTAGCCCTCATAATATTCAAAGTCTTTTTATGATGTTTTCTGGTTTGTTGTTTCAGTGTCAATCATATAAACAGATTTTGACCCTAGGCTCACCTCTTCGTGTCGTAGTCAATGAGTACGTAGTTCTCCATCGCCAGTTTGAGGTCTGGGATCTCCTCACACACCCACCTAGAGAAAGTACACACATAAAAGCGTCACTAGATCATACACTTGACACAGTCACTTACTGTCTGTGTGAATGTGGGAGTATACAGTTGAGTTAGTGGTAAAGGTCACTTACCGAATGGTCTCGATGATTTCATGAGCAGCATCATGGTGTTTATCCTGACAACAGAGAGGGGGAATAACATATTAAACAGCTGTCAGTATGACACATTAAATTCAAAAGGCACCACCAACTACAGCCACCAAATCGACCACAAAGTTCAATGATCACCTCTCAAAAACAGTCCCAACAAAAACATGAACATTATAGCCTTTAATGACGGTAGAATTTATTACAGAACTGTTTTATTACACTGCATTGGTATAAGATCTGTGTATCTAATAAACCGGCAATATAAAATTCAAACAGTGTTCGCTTAAAATATAAGGAACTCGACAAGCCATGTAGCACAATACAGACAATAAAGAATACCAGTAACCTGCACATCTGTCCACATCATTCAATTGTATTTGCAATCTGAGGTGTATGGCATTTAAGTTTACCACTTTAGCATCTTTAAAATACAAATGTCATCTTGAAATCTACGGCTATGATGGACAGAAATGTCCCAAATAAAAAGAAATGTTACCACAGATTCATCTGATTCATCCTCTCATTTCATCAACATCTGACAGACACACTGTCACTGAATGCTGTTTATACTACAGATGAACTCTGTCAATGTTTACAACACATACTACTACACTCTGAATGAAGCACTCTTCTTAACCTTAGCAGTCTATTATATAAGCCTGTACATTCATAGAGTTATCAGTTTGTATCAAAGCAGAGGTATGTAGACACAACACTCAGATATACCTGAATTTTGGAATAAAATAAATGACTACATTAGGATTTTAGTACAGGTCTCTCAGTTCGGGTGCAAACCCAACTGTGCCTTAAACTAGAATCATTGTGGTTTTAAAGTATATATGAGAAATATGAGACATATCTTAAATTAGGATTGGTTACTTCTTAACTTTGTAGTCAGTTTACAAACACAGAAAAAGTCCCTAATGTGGTGGACTCAAAAACAAAAACGTTGATTGACATAAGGACTTGGGATAAAAAGGCACTACAGGCTTCCATCTCTGTGGCAATAATGCAAGCTTGGACTCCAGCAGTGAAATAATCTTATTGACAGTGTCCAGGCAGTAGTCTGTCTTGTAGTGGTTGTTTGTCACATAAATCATGTGTCTCTATTGACAGGCAGCATTCATCTGAAATTAAACCTTTTTATCCTTTTAAAAAAAAAAAAAAAACTTTTTATATTTAATCTAAAGTTACACTCTAAACTTCATTCAGGGAAACGGTTACGATAATGAAAGATTCGGTTTAATCAGACTATTCTGAACCATGCCTGAGAAAGCCAAGTCAAGTTAATCAGGTTAAAAATGCACTTTAGTCTAGAAAAAAAAGCTTGATAAGATGAATTATATCGATCTCGTGCAGGGAATCTATAGTTAGTAATCTTAGCTGGAGAGTGCTGAGCGGCTCTGTGGGAGTAATAGGGCTCATGTTACACCCAGAGAGCAGCCAGCCTGAGCCTGTTGCCTGAGCTGACCCACTGACCCACTTTCTGTCTCCTGCTCCAGCGCATTGCCAAGGAGAGCCTCTGGTGGAGGAAAAGAAAAGAGGGAAAGTAAGAGAGGAGGAGAAATCAGAGGGTAAAAAGGAAAGAAAGTGAAAGCAAGAAGACCTAGACACCGGGGAGAGTGAGGGGGCCAGAGAGAGGAGGGGGAGCCTGGTATTTGTCAGCTGTTTGAGGCCTGGCACAGCAACCGCTGCTAACAGCTCACAGCCTGGAGCTCCCGGCTTCCCGCTCAATACTGCCCGCCACTACTACGCAAACTTCCGCCAAAGCTCAAACATGCATGCGCACACACTCAAATATGCATGGTAACACAGGAAATCTACTACTTCTTCTGTCAGCACAATGTTCCGGTTACAGCTATATTATCAAGCTAGCTGCTAGCTGTGGTGCTAATAAACAGCATGAGCTACAAACCTTCTTCAACACACATGGGTACAACGGATTTGAAACACTGTGTTCCCCTAAATAAGCAAGGCATACAAGGTGTGTGAAGGCATGAAAGAGACTGTGTGAGCAAGCGAATGAGATGCCGAATGGGGGGAGGTCACCTGTTCGCACAAAGACGGCACACAGCAACACCAGCACAGGGCTGCTGCTAAAAATAAACACAGGCTGAAAGCGAGAGTCAGACAAAAAGAACAGGAGACCCTCCTCTCTCCCCGCCGTGGGTATACTGACGCATGCACTACTCCTCCTCTCTACACCACCTCTTTGGTCAATCTCTTCTAACATCAGTGTGACACATCATGGGTGTAGGGGGTTTTACGCTACACCATGCTCCACTACGTATACCTCAGCAGCCCACGAGAACAAATGACTAAGGCAGGCGTGCCACTTACCACCATGTACTACTTTTGCTTACCGCGAAACAGAAGTGTTAGAAAACTAATTCTCTTCGTGGCAACTAACTAACTAACAGGATATCTAAAACAAGATACTGGACCTAGCTTATCTCTTATGTCTTTTAATTTTAATTTGTGAAACACTCTTTATGTGGTGATTACATACATACTGCTACCCAGAGGAGCTGTTTAGACATGGTCATTTGTTTAATCTTGACAGATAAGTACAGCAGGTCACATGTTGATGACACAGAGTGTCTGCTATTCAACTGACCTGCACTGGCTGGCTGCCAGGCTCCAACATAGAAATGTGGTAAAGTTACTTCAATAACCACAACAGCATGACTGCAAACATGACAGTTGCCTTGTTGTTTTTCCATTTCAGTGCTGCAATGAGACCTGATTTCAAGGTGCTATGCCCAGACACCATTGATTTTACAGTAATAGCAGCCTTGTAAATAATAGGTGAAGTACACAGGTGAGCACCAAACCAAAAACATTCAAATTTGAGAAGCAGTGTGTCTTTTAAATGCTATGTAGGCCTGGCTAGTACCCACACCCAGAACCAGATGGACAAAGAGCTGCACCACACCAGAGGTACTCTTCATATGGAAGCATTTATAGATGCACAGATGTGGGGATTTAGTGAGAGACATGGAGAAACACAGAGCAAATGAAAGAAAGAAAAACGTGTTTTTATAGGCTTCATTCTGGGTTCTGGAGTAGAGTAACACTGCTTTATACTGCAACAGTCTGCATAACAGCCATGTTGTGTGTGTATCAAAACACAGACAACGCTGTGTTCATGCTCTGTGGGTGAGATAAGCAATCTTAATGCTCTGTGGGAGTGAAGAATGAATCTACATGGAGTGGGATCTGTTTCTACCAGCAAGCAGTTCAACAAGGGTAAATACTCATCACCAAACGTGACTGGGAAAAAAAAACAAAAACTTGAGCACAGATACTGGCATGTGTTTTTGAAATCTATTAATACAACATTGCTGAATAGGAGTCACTTCTATCTGTCTCCCTGTTGAGTTGACCATATGGACATGAGGAGGGGAAAAGAGAGGAAGTCTTTTCCCCTTTGATAACAGGAGGAGAGCACTGCATGAATAGGCTCCATATTGCAGAACTCCACATGCAGGACCATCAGCTGTTTCTAATTCAATGCACGACTGCTATTCCCAGTATAAATAGCTAAACATGCAGGTCAACAGTATAGTCAAACAGTATAAATTCCTGACATGCTTGCTCATGCGTTTGTCCTTACAGACCACAACATAAGGAAATGTAAGAGGCAATAAGTCCTAAAGGGTGTAACTGTGAGTGTTATCAGCCTCTGGTTTGGGGTAAAGGGAGGGTCAACTGTGTCAGCCACAGCAGAGAGTAGTGGCTGATTACATCAACAAATAACTCAGCGACTTGAAACTCATTAAGTTCATATTGTGATGGCGGGGATAAACAAACTAAATGATGGAACTTCCTTGACTGCCAGACAAAGTACAGTGTGGGTGGAGAGGAGATATACCGAAAAGACCCCATTCAGACATTCTAAGAAATTCAGCTTTTCTTCAGTCAGCACCGTCTGTCTCACCGCAGTTACTATAAATGAGAAACACAGTTTAAGTTACCTATATACACCACTGAACAGACCGCAAAACTTGCAACCGCTTCCCTTTCCGTTTCATTTCAATGAGTCAAATGCAATGACGTGTTGACAGCACGTTGCGTGGAAATACAAGTAAAATAATATTTCTTGGCAAGCTTGACTAATACTGCTCTGAGAATCGACAGATCAGGGATCAAACGGATGTATAGCGTATAAACCACCAAACACCACCAGCTGGTCCTAATCACAGGGATGTCATGAAATAACTAAACACAGAAAGCACTAGAGGAATGCGACAGTCACATGCTTCAGCATCTATAAACACAGACCTCCAAGAGTTCACACACACACACACACATGATCTCTACATTGTCTGACTGTTTACTGGATCTGAGCAGAGAAAACAGGTATAACCTATTTATCTACAACTTGGGGCCACTATTTTCAGTAGGAACATGAAAGATACTAACCGAGACACTTACAGCGAGGCCGACATGATGCTGGATGTGAAGGGTCGGTTGAAGCGTCAATAATAATGTTTCTTGAACTTGTCGCTACCTAGTAACGTAAATGTTACTCTGCTCAAATGTGCCGCAGTCTCTATGTCACCGACTACACTCTGGGGGTAGTTCATGCCAGCACAGGTTGAAAAAATACCAAACCATAAAAACAAGCTACATATCTGATCAGTCGGCGCTGCTGGCCGATACACCGACATGTCTGTCACCATCTCGACCAGTATGACCTGATTCTCCGGACGAGCGTGCCATGGTTCCTGCAGCTAGCCAGTGTTAGCAAAGAGCTAGCTAACAAAGACAAAAACAGAGACAAATTGTAAACCCGCACCCGTTTAGTTTTAAGGTTTAACACTTACGTATACTGGTAAAGGCCAGGGATAACCAGCAGGTTCTGCTCCAACCGGCGATTTGAGCTTGAGCTCCAGCTTTTCTCCCATCCTCCACTTCACGGCGGCTTGGCTGTGATCGATAGCTAACAGTTAGCTAGTAACTGCTCTCTGTTAGCCAGCTGGTCGGTTAGCGAGCGAGCTACAACGTGAACATTTTGTAAGGAAAAAAACGTAGAAACGCGCGGAATAAAAAAGACGTCGACGCCCGTTGCGCGGTAAATACACACACGATGCGACCAAGTGTATGAATGTATCTGCCTCGGTTTTCTATTTTGAATAAAATGCCTGTTTATGTCCACTGGCAATAACACATCGTCCGTATCGCCGCCATCTTGCCCGGCATGAATACATATGGCAGCGGGCCACTAGTAGCAGCGGGCAGACTGACGTCAGCGACGGGATCGTGATCTCAGCGCGTGGGCCAGCAACAGCGCGCGCGCGCGAGCGAGCAAGCACCCGTCCCACGGCGCGTGAGGGCATAGGGAACATCACGACTGTTTCCAGATAAACACAAATAATGTTTACAGAGCAGAGCTGGGCGGTCATATTAGTTATATATATTGTACTTAATACAAATTTAACTGTAATTAATTTTAGATTTCATATTTATTCAACTTTAACTTTATATATTGATTGGGTGTTATTAACATAACCACGTTTTTTGGTCACACAATCAGGGCATACACACATTTTAAGACACTGACATTTGTATTTCATATATATCTCTATATCTATATCTCTATCTATAGATAGATATCTCTATATCTAGATATCTCTCTATATCTCTCTCTATATATAGATATCTATCTATCTATCTATCTATCTATCTATCTATCTATCCTTCTCTCCCTCTCCCTCTCCCTCCCTCTCTCTATCTCTATCTCTATCTCTCTATCTATATCTATCTCTCTCTATCTCTATAGCGTATTATATTGTTCTTACCATTATATGATATTAATTGTAGAAATCATCAGTGTCTGCTGAAATAGCTGCAGTATATTGCAAAGTAGGCAAATGCAGCCAACACACATAATCAGAAACATGAAGCACATCTGGAAACTAGTGTTGTTTTCCTGTTTCCTTGCTTCCTAAACATCTGTAGAAAGGATTTAATTGTTCAATGTTCAGTAATTCTCCAGAACACAACAACTTTCAATTTCTCTCTGTCTTTCTTCCATAGAAGATGTAACCGTGACCGCAGTGTGTGCCAACACCTGGGTCCTAGAACTGGCACATCTATATGGAATGCTTATTAATATTGATTACACTTGTATGTGATGAGTACAAATGTCAGCTGGGAGAAAGGTACAGCATATGAGCCGAACAGTGCCAGAGAGGGTTTACTCCTGGTGGTCCAGTTTCAGATATGAATTAGGACTTTAATAAAAAACTAATTTTCTTGCTGTTGCTTTTGTTATTTGCTGTCAGAGGAAGATAAAGACTAATAAAGTAAAGTAGCAATAAAGTGGGAACTCGTCTACCTACACTAGAAAATGCACTTCCTGTAGAAAATGCATGACTGCCAACAGTTGAGATAAATTGCCTGAAAGATCTGAAAGCTGTAATGCATTGCACTGCATTGCTGGGAAAAAAAGAGGATGTAGCTGAAATGTAAAACTGGCAGTTTGGAGGCTGGACTGCATTAACTAAGGAAGCTGAGAGCTTAAATGCGTTGCTGAAAGGTGAAATGAATTGCCTTTGTATGTTGAAAGAAGAAAGGCTTTGTGTCATATCAGACACATGAGCTGCATTTCTTTAGAACATAAAATGCAAAGAGCTGAGAGCATATACCGACATATACCGCATGGGGGGGGGCCTCAACAGCACTGCACTGGAAACGCTGAAAAATGAGATGCATTGATCACAAGCATGTTCACACGGTGGAAATGACTGAAGATGAAAGAAGAGAACAAAGCACTGAATGCTGAACCAGCATTCACACTGATTAACACTGTAACACAGACATGTAGCTGTTCTTTGATGCATGCACACAGATATTTACACACAAATATACATATGCACACATGTATTACCACACGTGTGGGATACAAATGTGTGCACCAAAAGACAAGCAGGTCTATCTAAACATGCTGTAGTTTTCAAAGTAATGAGAGCAGCCATGGTAAAATGCTGAATTTGTTATTGGATTGCATTTTTATAGACGGAGCAGGAGTTTAAATGCATGAATGAATGGATATGTGACACTACAGAATAATGTCTTCAGCTCATTCACAGAGAAGTTGGCTGATCCAGTGTGGCAATCTACAACAGAGCTAGTATTGTTTAGAAGATGGTTTAGTCATGTGCAGCCTCAATATGGCTGAAATGTTTGACCATCAACCGTGTAATAAACTTCCTACAGTATCTGCACTTTGTAAATAGAAAAAGTAGACCTTTGTGTGTTTCTGATATGTGATTTATAATCAGATACTGATGTGGTGTCAACATCCGCAGCGAGGGGAAACAATCCTCCTCCTGTTGAAAGTGACACGGAGGGTCATAACATGAAGCTGAAGCACCCGCAGTCCCAAACAGAGATACAGGATCCATAGCAGAGGACGAGACAGTGCAGAATGAACAAGAGGTAATCAGGATGAAAAACTCAAATGTTTATCATCCTGGTTATTGCCTTGTGCTTTCAGTGCTGCACAACCACTGTTGTTGTGCTCATTTCTCTGTACCACGAGTACAAAATGAATAAAACTCAGAAAGCTACAGACAGCAGAGTAAAAAGAGCAAAGGTCAGTTTTATTTTTACATTCTTTCACAAAATCATTTATATTATAATGTATTGGTTCACTTTGTCAAAAAAATAAAGTTACATAACCCTCACATTGATTATATATTTATAATTTACACACATTCACAGTCCACTGGCCTGTCCTTTTACAGATCCGATTTTTTGAATTGTGACTATATAAGGGCTGTTATTTTGACACAATTGTATGTCCTTGTACTTTGGTCTTTCGTGTGCTCGTCCACAACGCAGGTGCCAGGAGTCAGAAATGTTTTCCTCTCAGCATATCAACCTACATGTATGAGGCCAGTAGTAGCTGTTTCTGTGGCTGGATGTAAAGATTTGCAGGTTACATAGAAAAAGGAGTAATTTAGCTGGAATTTACTATAAAATGCAAGACAGACAGACAGACAGACAGACAGACATTCTACCATGGCCTACATTTTTACATTAAAGCACTGACCCACTCTGCTAGCAGAGAATCCAAATAGAAGTAGACCCCTCTCCGCATTTCAGCACAGGAATCCCAGACAAATGAAATCCTGTCCAACTAGGAAACACAGAGGTGGAGGAGAGCCTATTGCTGTGTGTGTAAACATGCCAGTGTATATGCTGCTGTATGTTGAGGAGGGGGAGAGATGGAAGCCTGCCACAGTGAACTCGCTGACCGGGCCCCCTCCAGCTCCCTGAGCAGCGCTGAGGCCAGCATTGGGATGGGAGCCAGTAGCAGCATAGCGAGGCTCAGGCACAGCTCAGCCCAGCCAACTGGAACACAGTCGCTATGTAGATTTCTGGGATCTTTCACAGTGTGTCAGATTACAGCGAGCCCTGTCCTCCCTGTTGCCTTGCAGGAGCATCTTCTGCCCACGCTGCCATGCCACGGCCTTTTTTGGATCCACGTTTCGGTGCGAGGCACAGACTTGGCAGTAAATGACACACATTCAAGAGGATGCCCATTAGACACAGGCACCACATACAGAATACTACAGACTGCACAAACAGCCTGAATACAAAAAGGGAAGGTTTAACTAGGCCACCTTCAATCATTGCTGAGGGTGTCGCTAACAGTCCAGCTTTCAGGAGAAACAATGCAAACTGGGGAGACCAGAGGGATCCAAATGTTTCTATTAAACGTGTTGCTTTTTTCAAAAACAAAAACAAGGTGTGCTAGAACTGTGTGGAGGATTTGGAAACAAACAGTGGGAAACTGCTGCCATCTACAGGGCATCCTCTACATTACAGGCCGCAGTAATTGTAAACAAATGTTAGAATGTCGGCAAGTCCATTAAACAGAGATGAAAAAGAAAGCTCCATCAAATACACCAGTTTCTCATTTATAATAGATTTATGGAACGGTGTATCCAGACTTAATGTCTCAGGGCTTCCAAAAACCTGTTTTTGAAGCCAATAATAGATGCTCCATGTACTTTCCAAAGGAAAAAGTTAAATTTTTTGACTTTTGTCGAAGCCAAAATGTCCTATAAAAACAGTAATTGTGTATCCATCAGAAACCAACAAAACACCAATACTGTAGTGTTAGCATCACTATCCACACACAATCATTATTCTCCATAACATTATAAAGGTTTTCAATAATTATTGTTTAACATTAGAATACAGCATTAATACTAAAATCTCATCTTATGTGCAGAAACTAACACTAGAATTAAATTTCATTACAATAATGGACAGCGACAACTGGTTCAGAATTTCACAAATAAGGATTTTAAAGAATTTTATTGAAACAAAGATCAATTTCAGTCCCAGTCCCTTATGGTTTTCAAAAAGCGTGCTTTGGGTTTTAGCGCCAACATTTCATGACTCTTCTCCAAAGACCTCTTTGCTCATACAGCAGCATGTATATACTGAAGAGAAAAGAAAAAAAAAAAGAAAAAAACTATACAACAGATCATTTTGGCACAATCAGCTCATACAACGGTACTCCTGTGCTGGCATATCGTTACTTTCAAACAGTTTGCTCTCCATCGGATCAAAACATGTTTACTGATGAGCTCATTCACAATGGATTTGACCGTAATAAGAGGTGTAATACAGTAATCATGTCAGAATGCTTTTAGAAAACAAGATACCACAGTAAGAATGGTGAAAGGAGTCTTTCTTGTTAAAAGGTTGCAGTACTGGGCGATGCCGAGTGTTGATTCTGGTAAAAAGACCTTTACAAACTGTATGTTCCCTCACCCAGACATCATCAAGTTCCAAATCCAGCCTCAGTCTAGACCCAGCAGCATCGCTGTGATGAGTCTCGGAGCATTGGCCTTGATGTAGTGTTTGCATTAGTTGAGTGATATAATCTGAAACCTGGCATTACATTGAAACACTTGAGCCAAGTCGTGCAAAATCCCATCTGGAGCAAAGGACCGTCCTCTGACTTCTCACAAGAAAACACTGAGAAAGATTCCACTGGATGATAAATTATGACAAAAGACATGATAAAAACACGAAACCGAGAATACTGCGACATGTTCCTTTGCCAACATTTGGTAGAGCGTTTTGTTTCATCCCATTCCGTAAGCACTTTGGTATACATGCTGGTCAGAGCCATGTCGAATTGATTACATACTGATTCAGTTGGACTAGGCCTTTGCTTGGATTTTAATATCCATGGGCAGTTTTTTTTTTTCCTTCAAGTAAAGATAGAAAGACTGTTCATTGTAACACATTCATAAAGCATGCACTCTGATGGACAAAGAGAAAAGTCGTTTGGACAAAACCCCCAGGTAACAGCAAGATCAGGAGAAAAAGTGCTGATTTTTCATATTCACATAAAAAGATCGATATAAGAAACGCATTCGCTGACTAAACTCGACTCGCTCCTTCATCGGGTTAAGTGTCCGATACAGCATTTCTGAATTATCTACGGATCCGTCTCGTGGATCCGCCTTTGACGCGACGCTTCTCAGAAAGGGAGAGCTGATCCAGGAAAAAGATTTCAGGTCAACCTCTGTGAATATCTGACATCACATTTGAAAAAGGCAAAAACTGGTCGCAGGGGAGCCCTCCTTCTCCAAGAGGACAACACCTGGAAGATGATCAAGGATGGCTTCATCTTAACAGTCGTCTCAATGGACTATTCATGTGGGTCGATGAGCAGACAAAACAAAGAATTTGATCTTTTTAAAGACACTGTAAACACTATTTTAACATAACTAAAAATGTGAAATTGATGGTAACTTAGGAGATATCAGATCTGTGACTCTACCTAATTTTTAAAAACATTTTTAAGTTGGAAAAAAAAAAAGCCTTCAGATCTACATCCCCTGTCTGCATCATCTTACAATTAGAGGATCTTCTGAAGCATGAAGAAGAGTATAACTGGAAATGAACTCTTCAGATAACCTTGACTCATTCTATTGCTACAAAAGCCGTCATGACCTAACCTGGAAAGACAACCAATTAAGAACTAAATCTAGTTTTTCATTGATACGACATGATGAAACTAAGGACCACTGCTGTAACCAATGAACAAGCACTTCAGCTCGTCATGACTGAGTGAGGAGACCGTGTTCAAAGAAATCTACATGATTTTTAGAAAAGAAAAGCCAAGCGCACAAACTTGCGTCTGACTAGGTGCGTTTAGAGGCATCATTTTGATTTAAACAGTAATATCTGCATCTCTTCAAAAGAGAAAAAAAAATAATAAACGCCAACAGTTTGACAATTAGATGGACAAGGCAGCTTCTGAATAAAATACTGGCTGACATTCAAGATGCGAGGACAGAAAATAAGAGAGACAGCTTTTAAGTACTGATATTGAGGAGTGTAGAACAGACTCAGTCCCCGCCCCCGCCTCCCAGTTAAGTGTCAAAAAATAAATAAAAGAAAAACCGAGAGATAAATTCAACGTCACAACCATTCGATTCAGTATATGGGGAAATTCACTTAAGTTTTCTTTACTCAAAAAACAAATTAGTTGCATTTGGCGTACAATCTGCAGTTTTCATCTCAGTGTCCCCCTTCTCTCCGGTTTCAAAAACAGGAAAGATTATTCGCATATCTCCCAAGAAAGTGGGAAAGTTTCCATGTTTGACTCTTTCAGACCTCTGTGCACTATAAGCAGGGTGGGCTGTAGAGAAAAACAAAGCCACGCAGAACCTTTTTTCCTGGATGCATTGTAACTACACAGACGGACCTGGCCACACCAGGCACAACCCCATCCTCCAAAAAGAAAAAGAAAAAAAAAAAAGTAAAGAGAAAGAAGATTGTGTGTCTTGCTTAGTCCTCACTAGAGCCTTTGGCCCCAATGAGGGGAATCCTCTCTTCATGGCATCTTTCATGAGAACGTTTTATTTTAGCACAAGCGGAATCCAGAGTTTTCCTTTATCTGCTTGGTTTCCAGAGATAACAGGGAAACAATGTCTACTAACTACTTTAAAAGGTGCTGTTGATCGTACTCGGCAATAAGTCTCTTTATATGTGCCAGTTTGTTGTGTAGATATTCACAGCGGTTCTTCTCTTGACTATAGTTTGGATTAGTCTGCAAGGGATGAGAAAGCACAGAGTCACAATCTGTTGATCTCCTTTGAAACTTTATGCCATCAAACTCTGTTGTAGTGGGTTGTAGTTAAACTTACCTTTTTTATTTTATGATACTCTTGAAGTATCTGATTGTGGATTGTCTGTGAAGAGAAGACACAAAAATGGGTATGATTAAAATTGATGTACTGTAAAATGAATCAGTAAAATAAAATAGGACATTTTATTTAGTTCCTCAAGACATTTTCTAACAAAATAGCACATTTGTGTGCGACCTACCTTGTACTTGTCTGTGCCTTGGTGGAGCTGTTTCAGCTCATTGTCAAGCACCGTGAACTGCCGGGTGATGCCCTCTATCCGAGCGTGCAAACCCCGGTACTCACTGTACTCAGCGTTGAAATCGTTTTTATACCTCTGACGCTGCTCCAGCGAGCCGATCACTGTGTACTTCCTAAGAGGGAAATAAGAGAAAATCTTCGTGAAAAGAGATTGAGAGAAAGTCACAAAGTAAGAGTTACTCAAGTGAGAGTAATAATAGTAATTAGACCAATTAAATTAATGAATCCCAGAGATTTTCAAAGTCTAACACTGTAGACTGTGCTTCCCTAATATCTCCAGTCACAAAGCCCATTGAGCTACTGAGGGCTATAAGTTGAGCCCTGTTTTCTACCTTACATTTATTAACATGTGGCAAATGGGGCCAATTGAAAGTATTTTTTTGTCAAATAAAAGTAAGCTGAATTAGTTATCAGCAGTGCCTGTTTGCAATGTACACATGCACGTACAGACAAACATCACTGGATCACTTTGATACTCAAAAACAAATCTTAAAACCAGATGATTCTGGAGTGTTGCTGCTATAAGTGGGCCAAATTACAATAACTAACGTGTTGTTTTTAATGCACCTGTCTGTTTCACCTCACACGTCTCTCTCTCTGTGCTCCCCCTTCAAATCTCCCGTGCCCCCCCAGGGAGGCCTAACCGTCTCCAATTTATTTATCTATTAATGAATTTTAGGAGAATTCAAACTCTCTTAGCGAGCAGCACAGCTGTATAATCTATTGAGATTTAAAATTGTTGAATACTCACAATAAATAGTCTGCCACCTCAGGTGATGACAAAGGAATACTGGTACTGTTGCACATTCCATTCAGATCTGAAACAAGATTTAGAAAATGTCATTAATAAGTTAAGTTCACAGAGTCTCTGCGTAAAACACACCACAAAGAGATCATTATTTCTAATTCATTATTATCATATTATTATACTCATAAATGTGCAATCCTCTAAAGATGTTATCTGCCAGTTGGATTCACGTGTGTGTATTTGATCTAATTGAAGGCATAAAGCTGAACAGCAGGGGTCTCCATTCAATCAGTGAGTCACATACTGGTCACATGATGCAGCACCTACTTCACAGTGATGACTAACTGGTGTCCATCCACATATGAAGCACTACTTTTATTCAGAAAACTCTCATCTGTTGCAAGAGCTGTGAAACTGAACTAAGTCAAACATTTTGTACAGGAGAAGAAAAAGATGTGTGCGTGCGTTGAGCTCACCTGTGCTTTTGTGTGGAATACTGTTGCTTTTGATGCTTGCTGGGCTCATCTCACAGGCTCTGTTAGGCTCAGGCACACGCTCCTCACGACTCTTCCTCTCCTTCTCTTTCTCCTTCTCTTGCGCCTTTTCTCTCACTCTCTCCCTGTCTTTGCTCTTCTCCTTGTCTTTATGCTTTTTTGACTTCTTCCTGGACTTGTTGTTGCAGGATGAAGGACTCTTGTCCCGAGGCCCCTCCAGGACCATGGGTCCAGGAGATGATGTGCCAATGCTGGGTGCAGTGAGCATCGTTGAGCCCGAGAAAAGCGAAGGCGGTTGGCTGAGCCTCTCGGACACCGCTGTTTCCTGAGAGTCACAGTCTCTACCGTTGTGGCTGGAGTCGTTGCTGACATCCGACAGTGCTTCAAATGGACGAGGGATGTCCAGCACAGGGAGCTGCTGGGAGCTGGATGTCATGCCGCCGTCTGAGATAGAAACCGCCACTGCTGCCTGCAATCCACCTGCCTCTCCTCTCCCGTTGATGGAGCCGAGCTTGCCATTGACTGGGGCTGTTGCAGCCTTGCTGGCGAGGTGCGATATCCTGGGCTTTTTGTTGACAAGGGGGTCGATGAAGTCAGCAGCGGGCCGTTTCTGGCAGAAAAATAGCAGATTTAGTAGCAGAACCTAAGATAGGGTTCAGTCTGAATTCAATTCACCCCAGAGCGAGTGAGAGGAAAACTGCAGTTCAGGTCAGAGCAAACAAAAATTGTCTGAGCTGTGGAGGACAAGGGAGTGTCTAGGACATGCACATAGATGGAGAAAGCAACACAAAGAAAGAACGAGTACAAAGAAAAGAGTATTAGAGGATCTGTATTCTCAGTAGCACTGAGACTATGATGACTGTGCTGTCTTTTCACAATACCAGGGATTACATTACAGACGAGCCCCGTTTGACCCAGCCCACACTAATGTTTTTGGGAGTGGCTGACCCAGTCACTGTGTGTTGGCTGTCCCAACAGGGGCACTTTGGGGTTCTGAAAAACCAACGAAAGCCAATGAGGAACAATTTTGAAAATATTTTCTTCTTGGTTTTGGGCCTCCATCTATGCTAATTAGTCTGTTGCTATATAAAAACAGGGGGTGCTATTGTCAGGAAGCCAAATTTAATCTGAAGTTGGGCTGAGATCCGCAGTCCCACTTCAGATGATGGCAGTAATGAGCAATTTTATTTTTCTCCCTAACAAAAGGATAAAGATGGGGAGATTTTACCTTTTGACTCTGTGAATGGAAATCTTGACTGGAAAAAATGACTAGAAATGTAATGCTAGCAGGGACGGAAGTTATTTCCAGATTTATCAGTCTTTGTGTGGACATGGTCTCACCCTGTTTGCCTTGCAGCTCTCCCTGATTCCCCCCTCACCTATGTGAAGTTTACACACAGCTTTACCTGGTGTGGTGCTCTCAATTTTAATACCAGTGAATCTAAAAAAGAGCCTGGGGTACTGTTTGCTTGTGTGCTGTGTTTACTGAGGGAGGGAGCGGAAAGGAAGGAGCATACAGTAGGTGTCTGAGGTGAGAAGAATCTGAGAGGAAGGAGCTATTAATATAACAGAGCAGCTCCTCCTTCCTCTACCTAATGGAAGTGTAAACAATGGGTAAACTCAGGAGTCTGGGCTGACCTAAAAAGAGAGCAGCAGGACAAGGAATATGATAAAATGAATTATGCAATCAGGATGAAAAAGAGTTTCACTTAAATAAAGTGTTCCGTGGTGGCTATTTTGGTTTAATAGTTCTCCTGCAAACAATGTATAGTTGTTCAAACGTTCTCTCAGAGCTCATAACTGAGTAAAGTTAATACGGGTCAACTGGAACCAGTTCAGAAAATGTGTACTGTAAAAGCACTTTTCAATTCACTAAAATCAGAGAGGAAACACAAATTGGTTTGGAAGAAGCCAGATAATTTAGAAAGCCTTACTGGGAAACCACCAGACTGCAGAGACAACCCAGTTAGCAGGCTGTAGTGTAAACTGGTGGAAATGTGAAAAAAGAAATCCAATACACAGTTTTGTTTCAATTCCCCTATCATTTCTACTGGATCAGCTAAAACGGCTGAAGGCAAACAAGCTCTGGTTAAAAATTAACTATGCAGAGTGTATTTACACTCTACTGAATTAACATCAAGCTGTTTGAGAGTTTCAAAATTAATTCTGCCAAGAAATTCATCAAATTAAGAAATAACAGCAATGTTGAATTCCCATGGCCAAAAAATATTTGAAAAATCGGTATACTGTGATGTGTATCGTTAATCTCTTACAAATCTGAAATATGAGAGAATATCATCCATCACTATCCGCAGTGGAGGAGGAGTTACTGTACAACTGGGAAGCTCACCTGAGATGGGGAGCTGCCGGCCAGGTCTTTGGGCGGGCTCTCCAGTGGAGGGGCAGAACTGTTCTGGGCCTGGCTCTGTTTCCTAAGATGGTACAGACAGACACACACACACACACACACACACACACACACACACACAGACACGATATCATTTCTGCATGATCTAAACTGTAAACTGCATACCAGCACTACAGGAACATTACTTTATCTATCCACCTACCCGTTAAGGTGACCACAGCATTTCCATTGGTGCTAATGTGTGAACGTTGGAGGCTTCAACTAAATCTGATTGTTCTGCCAGTGTAAGAGTAGCTAACTTGTTTGACTAGACACTTTGGGTCATACACCAACGACTAAAGCCATCACAGAATTTGTTAAAAAATTTATTTGCAGCGATTTATGCTCATAGAGCTGGAAAAAATACTCCCAAGACATGTCATTCGAGCAAAACTAGAAAATACGCAGCTGCCATTTCTTTAGTGACAGGCTAATTCTATATATGAGGACATTAAAAACAAGTTACAACAGTTGCTTTGTGAAGATGAGTGGGAAGCTATAACAACACAGCAAAGGAGGACCTACTTGACAGAGCAGCGTTTTATCAAAACCACACTTCATTTCGAAAAATGGACAAGGCAAAATTTCATTAAATAATTAAATCTGTTTACAAGTTTTGTAGCAGTTTAACGGTCTTCATTGTTTTTTTAAATACATAAATTCTGCTCTACAGAAGACCAAGTATAATCTCACATTGCTGCGTGTTTATTTAATGGTCGAACAATTTGGCAGCTAGTTCAGTACAAGTGAGAAAGTGGCATGACACTCTACTGTGACCCAGAGAGAGCGAGAGAGAAAGAATATGGTACTGCAGCTCATTCTGGGTGTGGATGTTGTATTGGGGGTTTCTCCATATGCACACTACAAAGGTCAGTCAATGGGATGGGGGACATACCACATCTGTTTTCACACCACTCTATCCCTGACCACCTCCATTAGAAGCTTTAGTACAGTGTTCCCACCTGTATTTAGAGTTGTTCACTTTTGATCAAGTCAGCCAAAAAACATCTTATTGCCAGGTGTGAACGCAGACTCTGATTATGGTGCACTAAACTCTGACCTCATTATGCACCAGATTAATCTGTAAAGCACAAGTGTCAAAACAAAAAAAGCTGTGCCAATATACAGCTACCCAACCAAGATAAACACTGCTTGACCAACATTATAATCTAAAATGTAAAATGACACTTTTCACATCGCAGAGATGCTGCTGCCACCGTTGACGACATTATCAGAAGGGGGCAGTTGGATACACCAAGCCCTGTCAATGCCCCACCCAAGTTCAATCAGGGTGTGTGTGTGTGTGTGTGTGTGTGTGGTGTGTGTGTGTGTGTGTGTGTGTGTGTGTTTATGTGTGTTTGTGGTGGAGACAGCTCCAGCCTGTGTATCTGACTACGAGTGAGACAGCAGGTCGGCCGATATGGCTGAACCTTGGACCGGTGCCACCTCACACACGGATCAGCATGTGCTAGAACAGTGTTGCATCATGTGCGTTCCAATCATGTTGCTGTGCTACTCCTGCGTGACTGACTGCATTAGCTCAAAACTCTGGAGGAGCTGTGGAGGGGGGGGAGGTGATGTTAGGTGGGAGGCTGTGTTTATTAGTCAGCTGATAAACTCACAAACAGAGCTCAAAGTACAATAAAAAAGAGACAGACACACAAATAAGTATGTGTGCATACGCATGTTTTTACATTCAAAATAAATACATTTGTGAAATGTTTTTTTAAATTTGCCAGAAGGGCTTTAGGCTTCTACCAGAACTACCCTTCAAAAGCCCAATACAACACAAGACATACTATAAAACTATGCCAGTAGCAGTCTTAGCAAAAGCGACTTCATGTATGTAAGGGAGTATATTGCATTGCACTGCATTACATCATAACCGTGTTTCTATTCTTCTTGTCACTCAGTGTTAACACCGTTTCTGCCTTTACAGTTGCACCACAGGTAAAACTAAGCTTATCATGAATAGGAGCTGTTCTTGAGTCCACTACGTAAACACAAGCCGAGGACCAAGCATTGCTGCCTGGTCTATATATAGCTAGCTGGGAGCTTGCTTTTCCTTAGTGTCCCAGATCCTGAGAAACCAGATTTTTCCACTGGGAAGAAGGCCAGCAGCTCATGCTGTCAACAAATACAACACTTAGACGAAATTCGGTGGAGCACACAGAAATCTTCCTCAGGACACACAAGACACACCTGCCATACTAACAAATACAAAAAGTGGGTTTTACACAAGTTTTGCACACCCACATCCGTAATTTCAAGCACACAGAAGTCAATCCAATATAGTCTTATATATCCTAATCATATCTCATATACTATAATCGTTATATCACCCTGTGGCCTCACTTGACACAAACAGCAAACAAGGTGCAGTTCGTAGTGTCATACGTCTGTACTTCACAATACCTTGTATGTAACTTGAGAAAAGTCTACATATATAAAGTATATCAGATATATCAAAGTATATAAATGTAAAAATCTGTTACTTTATAAATGTAATCCACTGCTTTAGCATCAATATTTGTTGCTGAGAAGCTAAGGGACCTCAGGCTGCCAGTATGCTACAACACATAAGACTAATTCACCAAACAATCCAAAATCACCTCCCCAACATCGTCCGTGAAATAAAGAACGGAAAATACGCACATTACACAAATCTAAAAACATATGTACATTTACATGCACTTCACTGAAGATACGTCACCTAACATGTTCTCTACATTTTCAAAATAACTGTCAAGCTGCTCTAAATGTTTGGCTTATGAGAAACATAGGATGACATATGGGTATCAAATAAGAGAGTAATCTGTGTACCTAAACAGGATTCTCTTGAGAATCTGCTGGTCTCCTTCTGTGTAGCCCGGCCAATCCTTCTGAATTTCCTTATACAAAAAGTCCTTCAATGTGAAGGCGTTGTCTTTCCCATTCAGGTTCGCCACCTAGGAAATGAGAAAAAGAGGCATGTGTGAGTCTACTTGCCTCTGCACTTGAGGATGATCAGAAGGGATATCCTCACTGTGAGCGACTCAAGGTGACAATGCTGAGGCAGTAAGTGTGTGTGTGTAACCTGTTGCAGGTGGCTATCCAGGGAGTCCTTGTCTAATGGCAGGAGGCCATCTTTCTGCAACCTCAGGATCAGCTCAGGCTTCTTGTAAGGCTTGAGGGCCAACAGGTGTACAAGGCGCTCCCGGAGCGGCCTGTGCTGAGGTGTGCCCTTCTTTAGCGTACTGCTAGAGATGATGACGGGCCGAGACGTCCTCCGTAACGGGGCAACGTCTGACAGGCCAGGTGCCGGTTTCCGGATCTGGACCTTCTTACCTGAGGAGTTACAGAAGTGAAGGAAGAGTCTCTAGTTTTTGCATGTAGTTATTCTACAGAACAATTAGCTTGTACAGTTTACTTTACTTTAATTTCTAAGTTGTGATGAGAATTTAAATTATAGGAGGGATTTAGTACAATCTACTGCTGAAACAGACGTGCTGGTAGAAAAAGACTCATCAATTGACTTTTTGGCTGGCACCAAGCACTTGCTTGTATTCTTAAAATACAGAAAATAACTATAATCTTAGCAAGAAAAATACATTTATTTCTGTCAACAGCTTTTAACTCGGTGAGTGATAATGGCTGAGAACTTGCAGATGACTCATAAAAGATGTGTCTTGCACTGATCTTTACTGCTGCCACGTCCACCCAAACTCACCTTCCATTACAAACATCAGCTATTATCATCTTCTCCCTCTGAGACCTGGTTTCAGGTGATTCAGATGAATCCTGTTTTGCCTCCTACTAAGCCCGAAAATTCTTTGGCTCCACAGCACTCTGACTGGACTAAACACTTTTTGACTCACTGCTGAACAGTGAATAGGCCGGATTTATTTCTTTTAAGGTTATGAGGCAGTACCTGCTGTGGTTTTGTACTGCAGCTGTAGCATGATGTGATTTATAGGTCGGAGACCAAAACAAGAGGTCAGAAAGTTGATGTGTTATGCCCGGGGACATTTCTGCCTCTGTGTGTTTAAATAACATCGGGTTCGGGGAGAAAAGAGGATCAGTGTGCATGTGGCACATTATATGCTTGACCACAGAGGAAGCAACCACCATCAAATTCAATAAAGTCCTGGTTACAGATGAGGCATGACCCAAACAATCCAAACAACCTGTCTGGTGCAATGTGAACCCATTCACCAGCAGAGAAGGGCTACACAAACACATGGGCCATTTGGATGTTTGCAGGGTACAGAAATTCTTCCAGTCCCTTCCTGCCTGTTAACTCCAAACACCTTTATGGTGTTTAAAATGGAAATATCGATTTCCCATCATCCAAAGGTTATTAAATACGGGTCTTTGCAAGTGCAAGAAAATGATGCATGTTGGGTGGTCTGCATGTTGCCTCACCTACGTATCTCCCACCAGGTTTGATGACAATGGCACTCCTACTGCGAGTCTCCTCCTCAACCTGGGCCATGCTCTCCCTGGCCTTCTGGTAGGAGTCGTCTGTGGCACATACTGTAATCTTGTCCTGGATCCCACCCAAACAATCCAGCTGAATGCTCCCTTCACTGCCAAAACAAAGAGGAGACGGTGAGAGAGGAAGACAGGGATAGAGAGGGAGAGAGAAATAGACAGGAAGCAAACCAATATCATGTTATATTTTAGAGGATGGTACCTTAAAATACTCAACATAAATCCACCACTACAAGTTAATTCTCAGCATTAACCCTAATTCTCTCACTATTTGCAATAACCCATCCTCTAACTGTGCATTCCTGCCCAGATGAGATCCATTAAACACCCTGAGGGCACAACTATTATTTTTTCAATTTCCATCCAACTGTGGGTTCCCACAGTACGACTCATTGCCACATCAAATCCCATTCTTTCCTGACTTTCCGGCTCTCTTTGATTCCCCTCCACTTTGATGAGGATTTGGCAGAAAATGAGATGGTGCTGGCGCAGTCGGTGGAAGCTGAGCTCTGTCATTTGGGTTTTAGATTGGAACTCGAGGTTGATTAGGATCCAGTCAGAGATGTGGATGAACTCCACCTGACCCACTTGTTAAAAATATTTTCAGTATAATGGGGTCAGAAACTTGACAGTCAGAGAAGCAGAAGGTTCTTGTTGTTCCCCATTCTGTTTCTCTACTTCCTTCCTCTTCAACACAGACATCTGGTCCTATTCCCTTTACATATGTTAGGCTGGAGAAGGCGTGCAGGATTAGTTTAATGGCTACATGCACAGAGAGATGGATCTACATAAGAAGGTCTTGTGTCATTGAACTGCTACTGCAGAGACAGACAACACTTGCAGCAGGAACAAGTTCTACAATTATTAACTCTAAAATGTATTTGAACACTTGATACTCATCCTTCATTTTAAGTTAGACTGTTTCTGTAGAACTTCATTCTTCTTCAGAAACGTATTTTGTTTTATAATTAGAAGTGTCTTGCTGATTAATCTCAGTTCCCAACTATGTTAAACAAACAGACTGCCTGGAAACTCTCAGATTATTTACAGAGCTCAAAGACAGCAAGCTCATGATTCAAATGCTCACACACAATTGATGTAAATTTGACATTACAGTTAGTGGATTAGCGTTTCTGAAAACGAAAGATTAGCTGCACATTCGATAAAAGAGAAGAAAGTGAGTGAGATCCAGTGTTGGCCTTCACCTCGTGATGTACTGCTGGATGCAGTCGAAGCTGCCCTGGGGGTTATCTCTGCCCACATTTGACAGGTAGAAAGTAAACGTTTGCAGTTCACTGGAATTTTCTGACCGTGGTATCGAAATCTTCTGTTGAAGACAAAGAAAAACACGAATATGTGAAATCAACATGAGTTCCTGTTCTAAATGATTTGATGTCAGAAAAAAGCCTCCAAGTTCCTACCACTTCCTAATTTCTTTTCCAGGAAAAAGGGCCTGTATCTTATCAACATCAGTGAGAGACTTTTCAGACTGCACTCCACATCCTATTTGTAGACTTAAATGCTCTTTTCTTTCGTTCAACGTTTTCAGTACTATAAACAAATGCCAATGCTGTATACTTGGAAAACCTGGCTCAGACAAGGCAAAGTTGTGAATGAGCCCAAGGCATTTTCTTGCCAGCTTAAAAAAAAAACACTAAAACCCTCACAAAATGCAGTTGAGAATCTACTGCCGTATCTTCTTCCAGCTTATGTCTACTAGGATAGTCTAAGCACTGCAGAGTGTTCCTAATTGTGTTCCCAATGTGTGGCTGGAGGAGGAGAGGGTACATTATTATAACAGAAGAACTATGATAGGTATTTCTGCAGTTTCTGGCATTCAACACATTTATGCACATCCTTTTCTACCCCCAGAATTACCTTCCTCCCACATTACAGGTGCAAACTGTTAAAAGACTTCACAGGCAGTGGGGTTAACCACTGTGAACTAGTGCACCCTGTTTCTCTATACCTCTTATCACCAGCAAACTGCCGGACACTTAATAATTTGACAAGTGACAACTGGGATGCAGATGTTGCATTCTTGCTTCAAAATACATTTTGCACAATTACAGTTAGGCACTGGGTGAAAAGGGTACATTTGGAACATTTTTAATGCAGTAGTCGGTAATCTTCTTAGAGAGAACTGTGAAAGAGAGAGCAGAGAAAGCACAGGGCGACACTGAAACCTTGCCTCGCCACTCAAAACTACCTGATTTCAACTCAAAAACAGTTTTAACACCCTATCATTAGAATGTGTATTCAAGAGTGAATTAATTTGACAAAGTCCTGTCGAGAAAAACTCCAGTTAGAGTAGTTCCAGACTAGAAACTGGCAGAGGGTTGTGTTTCCAGGAGGGCCTGGCAGGTTGACCCCCTACTCAGCTCTGTTTTCCTGAACACGAATTCAAGTGGTGTCACAGGCAAGGACTGTGCATTACACTAAGCCAGGGTAACAAAAGATGGCTGAGTTTACCAATTAGATTAGTACCCCAGTGCAGGTGCTCCAGACCAGTGAGCAGCTCATTTCCAGTGACCTAACCTAGTTCAGAGGCTCAGCCTGTGACTCACTGCTGCGACTGACATGTGGTCCGACTGTGGGCAGCTCAGCTCTATTTACTAAAGGTCTCGACACGTGTGACTGGTGCAGGTGGCCACTATAAATAAATACAATGTTCTTTATTTGCCCTCTTGTGTTCTCAGTTATCAATAATGTTCCACGCCTTTATAACATAACACACTGCCTCTGCTGTAGTCTAACTCTTTAAGGTACAATTTGAAAAGGAGAAACTATGATACTATAGTATATTGTCATTATTACTATTGCCATGAATTAACACAGGATGGAGACCTCCTACACCAAAAGGTTGTGGACTGCACACTACGGTATGCAAGTAAATACACATTCATCACGGCAGGAGGTGGAGGTGGAGCAGTTTTTAGCAGGAGTGGTGGGAAAAAAAACCCCCACAAATCTTTAACCCCATAACAAAGGACGGCCTGAAACCTTGTGATGAGCTCTGGGTAACAAGATATGTTAACATTATAAGTTCTGAATGTTCTTGCCCTTTATTTTTTTTGGACTATTTTTTGACTGGCTGCTCCATCCCTGTCTCTTGCCGAACAGGAACTACTACACCTACACAGCATTCTTCTCTAAGTCCTACATTATGTTTAAAGCTACATCTAAGCTACGGAAGTCAACCAGCCAGTGCTGCCACTGCTAGCAACAGAAAAACCAGTCATGACACCATTACCCACCTAGCCACATGTATCTCGGCTTTAACAGAGAAACCCCAAGAAAGAAAAGCAACTCGCACACAATATGCAGATTTCTTTTCTTTTTAGATGGGATCATTAAACTTCTTGTAATTTAGTTTTTGCTGTATGAGGGTGTCACCATGGTGAAAATGACACTGTAGGAATGGTGTGGCAGTTTGAATACAGGATAATGCTTACTTGTGGGAAGGTCGCCAGTGACATAAGCCTTGGTGTCGAAAACCATCTGAATCTACAGCTGGTAGAATCTTATTACTGTCGACACTCTTGCAGAAACATAGAGGAGATAGGTTGAGTGTGTGAATCCAGAGATGATTAACAGGCAGAGCAACTGACTGAAAGGCAAGGCACTGGGGAGTGACTCAGTTGACTCACTGACTCACATCGTAGAGGATGAAAGAGGCTCCTCCACACCAAATGGCTCAGGCTCTGGTTGAACAAACTTGTGAGTGTTGCAACCACGATGTTCATACGTTATTTTACTCAATCATGAAAGGGTACAGTTTCTAAAGAAAATGGGTCATCATTAAGATGAAAGCTGACACTCCCTCGTTTGTCGTTAGTGAGTGGGGCTTTTCTCTAGTTTGTCTTTACTGTGCATCTAGACTACACAACAGTCTCTTTGTGCACTGTGAGACCGGGTGCCGCTAACAAGCCATTTCATTCATCAAAGTTGTATGTGGGCATTTTTTGATGCTTGAAATTTTATGCTTCATGTCCCTGCTTTTGTGTCTGCGGACCCCCTTGAAAATAAGATGGTGCATCTCAAGTAAAATAAATGACATGGATAAGTAATATAGAATCAACATTATATGATGCATTTAACAATTTATCAACTTTCCAACAGACTAATAACTAATCAGTTGATCCAGTCTGGCAAGAATACGATGTCAAGCACTGGTTCTTTTCTAAACTGTACTGCTCCACCCTGAAACACAACAGGAGGTAATCTAGCTGTGGATACTGTGCCTTCAAGTTAACATTCTTCTGTAAACCTAACTACTTTCTTCTCCTAGGAAAAACTGAAAAAACCCTGTGTTAAAATCAGCTTAACTTGTAAACTGAAAACCTTGCTCGCAACAGCATCTGTTAAAGTCTTTATCAGAGCTTCAAGAGCTTTAGCCTGCTGTTGCCACAAAACCTAGACAAAACAGAGCAATGGAAAAAAGCAGAAGAAGAGCACACATTAAAGAGTCTGGAGAGATTACTTAAAACACTGGATGAAGGGCAGGGACTGACAATGAAACACACAATCTCTACAAGTAATAATCCCCTTTATACATAATTGTCTAAGGGTGGAAGTGGGTTTTAAACAGGTTGTCCAACCACCCCAGCCTTGTTTTGCCTGCAGCTAGTCTCATCTTCTAATTCAGCATGGCATCTAGCAAACAATGCCTCTTTTCAGGTTGGGGTCGTTGGAGAGGGCCGACCCCCACGCACTTCGTCTAGTCCTCTCTCCAAGGCCAGGGGAGAGAGAGGGAGCAAAAGAGACCGAAAACAAAATCAGACAGAGATAGAGACCTGACACACAAAAACAACATTAAAGATTACAAAAAGTGTTGACTTTTCAAGTACTTTGCTTCAGGCAGAACACTGTGACCAACAGACTTTGAAATGGCTTTGTCGGACTGTGACTTGTGGAAGACAAAAATCTAACTAAAAGGATGACATTGGTGATTTGCTAGGCTGAAAAGCCATTGAGGAACCTTTTGCTCTCTGTAACTGCCTCTGCCACCAATTAAACATGCTACATGGCCCAACAGCTGTGGATCTAGTCGACTAGTGTCGGTGGTACCAGATACATTATAAAATCTACGATCGATGTTTAGCCACATACGCTCAACGATGGCCTAATGGCAAAATGTCATCCTGGTTGGCCAGAATCAGAGTGAGCGAGTCCGAAACAAACAGCAACTCAGGCAAAAAGACGGTGGGGGTCGAGCGTAAGAGAGAACATAGTATAGAAGTATAGAACATCTCCATACACTCATTGCTACAAGCTACTTATCCAGCTATAATAAAAAGGAAGCAAACAGCCAGAACGAAATGTGCAGGAGAAACACCAGAGAGTGAATACAAGCTTCATTGACGGTGTATATTTTGTATATTTTTAGTCTTTAAAGTCTTTCAAGTCTTTCCTTTCTAAAAAGGTGCAAGAAACTTAGTCAGAGCTCAGGGAGAGCTATACAAGATGAATGAATATGTGTTAATGAATGTGGGATCTAATTGTGACAGCCAGGCCATCTGCTCTCTAATTTAGCCACTTTCAAACTTCTGACTAGCATTCTGATCTCGACAGTAACAGATTTCCACCACGGTGAGCCTGTTGCATCAGTAAAATACATGCATTGCTTTACCATTTCAACAGCCTAAAAACATCAGATAATGAACATCAGGTCTACCATCTGACTTGTAAAACTGACAAACATGACTTCACATGACACATATGCATGTATTACATGTGTAGATATGCTTTCAACACATTAAATGTCTGCTAAAAAGATGGAGATTTAAAGCCAGTTAATGAAAACTCTTTCTACAACAGTCTTAGAAGACACATTCAATTATCTGCCTATGTAGACAAACTCAGCCTGTTGGTACAGATACAATTGATTCTTAGAAAAATGGATTTTACCTGATGATAAATCATTAAGTGAAATAGACTGAAAGATTGAGTCTGGCTCTATGCAGGATTGCAGTGTTCTGCACTGCACACTGTTCCCAATTTTACACAAAAACATGAGAGTAGGATGGCAACTCCTAGAGGAGATTGTTGTAGATGTGTGTGGATAATGAATACCACTTATTGCAACACTCAATGCAGAGTGGCAGCTTAAATAATGCCTTTCTATTATAAATGTAGAAATCATTGACCATAACAAAAAATACACAGACCTGAATTACACCAATGATCATATCAAAGTCTAAGAGTCAAATTCTTTAAAACAACGTGCACATAAAACAATGAAATGTTGAACAAATTTGTCATGCTGCTGCTGTCTGAGGCTTGCAAGCTGTGTGTGTATTACACTGCAGTATCATCAGGATGAAGTGTTGGCAGGTGTTGTGCTATAATGTGAGAGTTCAGCTGTTTGTAAGCAGTTTTTGCTTGTTATCCATGTGCCTGAGTGTCAACTTAAGAGTAATGTACCTGTTATGTACCTGTAGGTCACAATGTAAACAAGCCACTGCTCTGATTAGTTCCTCCAGCATTCCCAGCTTTTTACCCTTTTTGGATGTACAAACTCTATTAAATATTGATTTATTTGATGTTCTTGCAGTGTCATAATTAGCCAACATTTTTTGTTTGCCGTTTCATCAACATTCAGCCACTCTTACTAGAAAATAACATTTCCCAATGTCACTGCAGAAATGTGGCAACTCTAAAGCCTCAAGAGGAAGCACTTTAGGGTAAACACAACGATCCTCCTTTACAAATGGAGAAGTTTATATGCTGACACTGTGTGTAAGACCAGTGAAGTAGGCAGTAATTAGTCAATAATTAATCAACCTTCTGAACCAAGGACCAACATTCAGCCTGTATTGCTCAATATGGTGCCAACCTGTGCGAGAACATTTTATACTACAATTGATGTCCTATGTAACCTGTGACACTAGACAAGGGCATGAGTAGGCTTGAAGGTTGAAAGTGAATCTTTAGGAGCGGAGGATTAAGACAGTTGTTAAGACCATTACCATAGAGATGCTAAAAATCCTGCTGTCGGAGGCATTGTGACCATGTACAAAGAGCCTATTAAGACAATGTTTGGGACAAAGCTGGATAGCCAATTAAAACTTTGTACCTAAGGCAAAAATCACTAAATGAACCAGCCCATTGGATGACACACCAAACTGAAACTTGACAGTACACCAGTTCACATAGACTGTCGATGCTAGTCAGGCTGGGCAGGCTCACACATGCAAACCCTGCCTTTTGCCCATGCAGGATGCAGCTGCTCGCAGAGAATGCTTGTAAGCACACAGATTTTATTGTCTTCATGGGGACAGTTAATTGCTCATATAGAAAGTACTGGCACCCTAGTGTGAGTTTTGCCATTATCATAAACAGGCAGGTACCAGCTGCAGAAAGAAGCACAGTTTCTTGCATTCTAGGATAGAAAAACAATCCACAATCTATTTAATTGCTACAACTTCTGTTTCTTCACTAAGTCAAACTTGTGCATTTATTGAGACTTAGGGCCTGTCCTCGTGAATACGTTTTTATCGAATCCGGATAAATACTATCGTATCAGCCTCGCGTCCAGATGGATACGGCATTTTCGGGGTGTGAAAACGGGTCCCAGAGTGGTCAAATCCAAAACGCCGGATTGCCTGGAGTCGTCTGGATGGCGAAAACGGATTAGCCCCGCCTCTCTAGCCTTTAACCTCAGCCGCCACCGCTAGACGCGTCATAACAACAACAACAACAACAACGGCGGACTACTACTACTTGTTTGTAAACAGCGCATGCTCTATGGCTTCTTTTCCGGTTTTAGTGTATCGGTGTGGCGGCGTCACAGCGCCACATACAGGCCTGGCATATGTACTACAGCGTTTTGGGTCGTTTCAGTGAATCCGTGTGGACGCAGATATTTCTGGAAATGACGCCGTGTTTACGGAGATTTTTTTCTGAAACGACATCGTATTGGGTGAGGCCGCGTATTCGTGAGGACAGGCCCTTAGATAGCTTTTAGCTTTGCTGCAGTGGTGAATAACACCGTCACAAACACCTGCAGCTTTCAGTCTGCAGTCTAAAGCTTGCTTTGTTTCCTTAGCTGTTTTGATTACAGTCCTCGCTTTATAACTAAAGCTGTTACTAATATGACATTAACATAATGACACTAGACAGTGGCCACAAACAAGGTCTCAACAACTGAAAGCAGCCTTCAATCGGATCCAATTTCTAAAACAACATTTGGAAATCAGTCCTTCAAGTCGCTCTACAGTTTCCTTGAGAGTTCTCACAGAGACTAGTGCATTAGGATCCAGAGCAGTGAACCTGCCCTTTTAGGTTTAGAAGAATGTTTCCTGCCATGCAAGAGATGTAGAGGGGCCTTGTTGACATTTGGCACATTTAGGAGCCAAAGCTAAATAAACCAAAGAGGCTGGAAAACATTGCCTGATCAGGCTTCAGTGACAGTAGTGCATTAAGATCAAGCAATGTTGACACAGCACATGACACTTATGGCAAAAAATACATCATTAAATTCAGAACAGCTTTGCAAGCATCTTTCTTGCTGCTGTCTGAGGCAGCCGCTTTAAGACATGGCACTGAAGTGTCATGTTGGAGGGGGGGAAAAGAAATAGCTAGCTTGCAGCTGACACCAGTGTTGGCATAATCATATGTCTTGTTTAAAAAAAAAAAGTGTGTATGTAAGTTGGCGTTTGAACTTCCACATATTGTCTTGAAAAAAATCATTTCTGGAGCTGACACCTTAGCTTTGGAAACACATGTTAGCAGCTAACCGTGGTGATTCAGCAGGCAAACTGTAAAAATAATGAATTAACTCTAAACAACACTGTATGTCCTGGATTATAGGAGACAGTGAAACATGTTCTTACCCCTTGGTTTCCATTAAACCTGATCAATGGTCGTGATGACAGGACCTGGAAAAGACAAATAACAGCATTGTTAAATAATTGTGACCATAAACATGTGAAAATATTTAATTCAGGCAAGGTTTTTTTTTTTTTCCTTTGGGAAAGAAGACCTGGTACCATGTCTATCCAAGCTCCTACATAAAACCAGTTTAACACTGGCAAACTGAGAAAGATTTACATAAAAACCTTTGTTTCAAGGAGATGTTAGCCACACAGAGAAACCACAATTTTAATATAATTTTCTATTCAAAGTTATGAGATTACAATTTCAAATTTGCATAAGCTCAGTTCACACGATGAATACAAATACTCGCAGGTTTTAGTACAGCGTGTACCCTATTTCTACAGGCCGAGCCTACTAATAACTACTCACTTTGATCATTTCTCTTGAAATATGTCCAATTCAAGAATACAGTATTTATAACTACAGATAAACATTTCTTACATCTATAAAATAAAAATAGAGTATATCTGATTGGTAAGATTTTCTTCAGTTTGAATACATTTTGAATCTTGCCGTCGCTCTGCCCATTAAATGAACCCACTGAAAATGTAAGGACTGCAATGTAAGACCATCATCTTCAATTAATTTCCTCTTCAAGCCAAACCACTTAGCATGTCTGCTGTCACCTGACAAACACAGACATCGATTGTGTGTGCTGTTGTCCAGTCAGCCAGTCACCCAATAGCTGGAACTCACCACGGACATTTTTCAAATATTTTCAGACACAGAAGCCCCCCAAATAAGGCTCAGATAAGTCTGGCCATCATGTGACGGCCTGAGTAATGCAGTCATTATAACAAAACTGCTGGGGTTAAACATGTTAATGGTTAACATTAAGAGCTGAAATTAATACTTATAATAAAATAATCAGAAACTATTTTGAGTAATTTTTCCAGCAAAGATGTGAAACATTCCCCAGTTTTAGCTTCTCAGTTGTGAGAACGTGCAGGTGTGCTGTGTCTTATCTAATAGTTAATTTAATATTGATTTTGGACTGTTGATTGGACAAAACAAGACATTTTACGGATGATCATCAAGAAACATTTCAACAGATTAAATCGATAATGAAAATAATCATTAGTTAGGTCAGGAATATCTCAAGAACACTTTTTATACTGTGGATGATCAATTTTTAAATGTAATACAGCCTATTTAATATAATAAAAAGTTATGTCAGTTTTGGAGATGCAGGAAAAGAGGAAGGGCTGAACAGAGTTTCCACTTCGCTTTCGGACGTATTCAGCGGTTTCAGTATCACATCCATGATAGTGGGGGTTTCAGTTTATCCTTTGATTTCTTATAACTCACAATTCAGAATCAGTTTCAAACGGAGTAAATCAAAGAGGCCGCAGCAGGGATTCCCCTAAGCAAAGATTTTACAGAAAGGCTACAGATAGAGCAGGAATTTTTAAAAACAAGTTGTTGCCAAACGAGGTAAGCAGAACCAAACCAATGGTAAACAGAGTGATCCGATTCTGGTTGACTGGAGCAACTGGAAAGCTTTACCGTTAGGCCCAATGCTTTACACCAATGTTGGGCTGTATCTGTTACAATGTAAAGCTGATGCTGATGTTCATGCCAAGACAAAGCAGCAACAGAGAGCAACAACAAAAACAATCTGTCTTTGCAAAGTCAACCTAAACTGTATCTTCAAGAGTGTTTAGTTTTAGGATGTGGTGTTGAATATAACCCTTTCCCCCCCAAAATAAACTTCTATTAAGGAAATGGTACCAAATTGTGAACTATGACAGGAATCATTTTTGGCATTACACTGACTGTAGGAACTACACACTTATGAACATCAAATGTTACTCAACTGACTTCTTCCTTGGTGCTACTTTAGCGGATCAAATGTGATCATGTGAGAGAGCTAAAAGTTCAAGGGAGGGCAAGCCTATTAAAGACACAATGTGCTTTGTATTCCTGCCTGATCCAGACCCAGAGATATGGAGCATGCATACAATGACTGGTCAGCTTCTGTCCTCTGTGCAGCTCCACTAAACACTGTAACTTCCTATTTCTTACGTCCAAAGTCCACCAGTTTAAAACAGGCAACTAACTCTCACATCTCTTAAATACAGATGTTAAGTAAAAACTGCATTTGAACAAAGGAATATGAAGGTGTGGTATCGAGGTCCCGCCCGTACACCCAGCCGACTCAATCTGTTAATCATGATGTAAACCCCTTTTTATAGTATCACTTAACTAATTAAAAACCAAACTACCTAAAATGACAGAAACAATCTTTGGGACAATTTCACCATCTACTCCTTACTTGATTCTAACCCTGCAAATCTGTACCATCACTAATAACACTAATACAAGTACTAATGTGTACGGTTATTACTATTACCACTAACAGTATATTACTCTGTTCTGGTCAAAATCATTTCCGGGATTCTAACAATTTGGGAAATTATTCAATTTGTTGAATTAATTTTCATGTTCAGAACAAAAAGTCCCATCTTAAACTGTATCTCAGCTTCTGTTTGTTTGTAGTTTGTTGGGATTATTTATGATTACCGGCCTAAGTAATGATGATGGCCTCATAATTAGATGTGTCCTCTCACAGTAATGCAAAAGCTTTTGAATCAAATTGTAGACCAAATTGTTTTTTAGCCACACTAAAGGAATGGCTCTTGGGATCGGTTGACCATTTCAGTCCAGACTTAAATATCTCAACAATTACTGGATGGCTTGCTGGACATTATAGACATTCATGGTCCCCACAGGATAACGCCTACAAGCTCCAGTGATCCCCTGCCTTAACCTCTAGTCCCACCATGAGGTTAACATTTGATTTTTTTGTCAAATGTCTCAGCAACTATTGGATGGATTGCAGCAACATTTGGTAAATTAATGTTCCCCTTACAGGGACAATAAAAATAGCACCTGTGACATAAAGATACAGTGTCTGGGACAGTAGAGAAATGCTTCATTCCAAATAAAAATTATATCTTAGCAACTTTAGTTCTAAAAGTGGCAAACTACAACTCAAGTGACTTATTCAGACCATCAGGGAAAAGACAAGAAATATATACAGACATGTTATATTGTAATTCATTCCCCCTGCATGCTGCTCAGAGTAATCACAGTCCATGGCTCTTCTGCCAACAGCACCGGGATCTCTCCCTCTCTTGCCCGTGCACAGTGTGTTCCTATAGCTTATATGTAAACAGGCCATTTGAGCTTTACTTCAAATATACAATGTCCCTGTAGTGAGTTTGTGATTATTTGGCTTAATAATAAAAATGATGATGATAATGTTCAAAGTGTGTGTATGTAAACTTCTGTACACCAATCAGAAAGTTTGCATTTACAAACAATGCATTATTTCTCAAACAGAAATAAACAAGAAACTGTAACTCAATGTCTTAAAGAATTATAAAAATTGATTGTGGCTAAAGACCTAGGGTGATTTCAACTTTTGGCTGTAATGCAGCAAGCAGGCTAAGCCCTACATACGCAACAGACATACCGAGTTACTGGGTGAGTGATGAAGTTACACCACTGGCCCTGGCTAGTGCTGGAGACTAGCCGTCACTCTTTCAAAATGAATAGATAGGGGCCGAGCTGTTCGTATCAGAGGCGCATTTCTCTGCACCGGTCAACAAGCTATTCTGCTACTCTGCACTTTTCTAATCATATGTACAGTTGATCTTTATAATAACTTCATGAATGATGTGTTCCTGGAAAAGCGGACTGCAAGGAGAGGCTCTCTCCTGCTTTTCTGTGTGCATGTTTCTGCTAGTCTCTCGCTCTGTTTAGATACAACTTAGAAATATGTGCCATCACAAACAGCAATTGTACTATTTCCAATAAATACAGGTGATGGGCAGATTGTTATATTTCATCATGAAGGGGGGGCGCAAATGGTTAACATGGACACCGACAGGAGGACCAGGCAGCGCTTTGCAGCACTTCCGCCTCCAAACAGCTCTCCATACGCCAAGAGGCAGGGAGATTGCACAGTTAAAGCACTCAGAAAAATAATCACTCTGACAAAACACTCTACACAGTAGGGGTGGGTAAAAATATCGATTCATCAATGCATTGCAATATATCTTTTCCCAAATTCAATATCGATTCATTAAATCCTATTCAAGCCCCTGGCCAGTGGGGGCGCGGTGAGCAACACCTTTGTGTGATTTGTTGTATGGACGGAGGCCGCACTTGACCACACAACAACAACATGGCAACTGAAGCAGGTAGCAGCAGTGTTAAACCAGCGTCTTCAACTTTAAAAGCAGACACTTGGAGTCATTTTGGATTCCAGTGAAAACCCGAGCAAAAGTAAGGTAGTGTGTAAGCTGTGCCAGGCAGTACTAAAATACTGCAATAACACAACAAATTTGCGCAACCGCTTAAGCCGATGCTCTGCAGCAACCCGCGGCTAAACCTGTGGATTCAAAACAGACAACTCGACAGATCCTTCCTTTGCAAACTGCCGCTAAACTCTGCCCGCGCACAGAAGATAACGGAGTCTGTGGCTGTCTTCATATGTAAGGACCTACGACTGTACAGTGTCGTGAAAAACAAGGGTTTGTCAGGGTCCCGAAGCTGTAATTCTACTTATTACTGAATCGATATCAAAGCATTTAAATCAATATCGAATCGAATTGTGAACTAAAGAATCAAAATCGAATCCCCAGCCCTATTACACAGTGTGTGTCATAGAAAAAGATACAATAGAAACAAATGAAAGAGCACAGGGAGTTAATAGATAACTAGAATAGTTAGAGTAAGAATAAGTTCTCTTTCAAAACAAAAACATCTTAAGATACAAGAGGAAATTATTGTTGCAACTGCATTTAGGCTGTAACAATTTTTACTCAACAATAGCTTAACCATGTTGCGTTATCTGCGTCAGTACACCTTAAAAACAAGTATGACTGGATCGCAACAGGAAACTGCAGATGAACATTTACACTCATCACTGGCCAAACAGTCAAGACATACACTGTGTTTCGACTTAGTCTTGTTATTCTGTTATAAGTGCAGG